GGATAGTCTCCATAGTGTGTATTTGCCCAGGGCCAGAATCCTTCTCGTAACCCTGTGCAAACAGACTGATAGAAAGCAGGATTTGGGTGACCCGAAGAGATAAGCATTGATTTGAATACATCAACATGAATTGGGGTTGAAACACAAAGAGATGAGGAAAAGAAGTGATAGTTGCCAGTGCTTCTTTGTTTTGATACTTGTAAGATGGTGGACGAGGCAAAGGTTCAGCGGTTTCAGTCCATCGACCTGTATGACTAAAGATAGGTGAATTATTATTCCAGATCATTCGTCACTTGAAGTGTTGGCCCTTGGCAATATCCTCATTAAGATCCCTTTGCCAGTGGACACTCCACTCATTTGTGCGAACCCTTGCAGTTTCCCCAGTTGCAGACATGGAAGTAAAGACATTCTTTTGCTTCTTTTTTGCATTGTCCTCTGTTCCACTTGTGACATGGCTCTCCACCTCTTTTCGCCCCCTGATTCCTCCCAACTCGGTCAGATGAGATGCTCCCTGGTTTTGCAAGCTGGTTGACAGCAACCATTCCGAAGGACGAAAGGTGGCTGGCTCAGAGATCATCAAATTTCCTGAAATCATTGAACCGCAAGAATTTTTGCTGCTCAACATGGAGTTGCACTGCTCAATCAAAGTCAAGAACCCTTTCATGGAGGGAATAGTGCGTGGTCACAAAGATGTTTGAAATGAATCTCTGGTATTGCTTAATTTCTCGCTCTCTCCAGGGCATGAGGAAAGAAAAGGCTTCACCCCAGAGATCAGCAGCAATGTTCCAATCTCTGGCAGACTTGACTTTATGGGAGGGAGTTGGCTGGGATAACGTGAGCTCGAAGCCACTTCCGAGATCTTGAGACTGTTTGGCATCAATGGCTGTTGAGTAGTTTCCGGAGAAGACTTTATCAAGGTCAAGAGCCCTTCCTTCAAGGAGCAAGAGCCATTGAGACAAGGGAAGACAGGGACATCCGGGAGTAGTGGTAACTTTGGTTCGGTAAAATTTTGGATCCTCCGACTATTCTTCATAACAGTCAAGGCTGAATTGGATCCCTTCTTCTCTCGAAAGGTTTCGATACTTATCAGTATTGAGCCAGGCATAATAGTGGGCTTTATCTCCCAATACCTTTCTTCTCTTTTTCCGTGACTCAAACTCCTCCTCAGACTCAAACTCTGAATCCTCCTCCTCCTCCTCCTCCTCCTCCTCCTCCTCCTCCTCCTCCCTCCTCCTCCTCCTCTCTCTTCTTCTTCTCTTCGGTGTTGTACCCCTCTTCTAACTCCCCGTTGTGAGGATGACCCCTTTTGAGAGGATTCCTCGTTGATAATATTTTGACGTGTCTGTCCGGATGGTCGGACATTCTTGTCAAGTTCATCATCCTCCCACGCAGAGTCGAGGAGCTCAAGATAGTGCGAGAATCCAGATTTGAAGGTTGGATCATCCTCTCCTCCTGATACAGCTGTGAGCTCTCTCCGGATTGTAAGGATGGCTTCCCATTTGGGAATTTGTTGCTTTTGATACCCGAGAACAAGCTTGATACATTGTTCAACGACTTCTGAGTCGAAAACTGGGAGCCTGGAGGAATGACTTTCACCCCTGGTAGAGGATGATATAGAAGTTTGCAAGGATTCTCGGACATCGTTAGACATTGAGAAACTTGTTTCGATGAAAGCATTTGATTTATAGCTGAAATATACTAAACACTGTCCTGATGATGAGAGGGTGAAAAGAGGCACTATGGAAACTGATGTGAGTGATGTACCTGGCACAACGACAAGAAGGTGAAAAGAGGCGTTACACCCCTAAAGACTCGCCGACCGTGTCAGGTAGAGGCCGATGAGATCACGGAGATCACTCGGCATGATCGACAAGCCAAGAGCACCCTGAGCGCAAGCCAAAGCTTTGGCAGAGGGACTGGCCCTAAGGTAGGCCCACACGTGAAAACTCAAATGTTTCGACCAATTAGACTTGTATAAAAAAGATTAAACTCGACATAATCCAGGAAGCCTGTCCAATACTTGAGAATGTTTGTATTGTCAGTAAGAGGACAATTGAAAGGCCAGGCTCCTTTTGAATATATAATAATTTGAACTAACCTAGCTCAACTGCCCCCTGACATGTCATGTGACATCACATGACTTACAACAAATGAGCACAAACATCCTCATCACTCCATACAATGTTGTCAAAATGTTCATGCTCACTGTAGATAACAGTGAGCTTGAGTATTACATTATTATTATTTTCATCACACTGCTGATTATAATGTGAAATATATATTTTTGAGAAATACTAAATACACAAAGGGTATATAGAGGCTACACCAGCATCCACAGACCCAGAACAATGCTCCCTGGTCAAAAATATTATATTTAAGCATGACAACATGTCTACATAGTAAAAAATGCGAGAGAAAGGTTCATCACAACCAGGGAGAGGGCTCTGAGGGGGGAATAGGGACAGGAGAGGGAAAACAGTAGATTACATGGCCCTGAGCATGAATATATCATGAAAAGAAGTAAAAACATGAAAAATGAGGGAGAGACTTATCAGAGTACCCAGAGTGCAGCACCTGTGCACTGTATTGTGTATAATATACCTAGGAGTCATTGAGAGCAGTCAGAAGTATATGAATGTACTGTAAGGATGAAAGCAAGGCAAAAACAAAATTGGCTAAAAAAGTGGAGCATGAGACTCACCAGATCAAGTGAGGTGCAGGAAAGACCAGAAGAGGGTGAGGGTGTGTATGTTGATTATGAGGTGGCATTGGAGGCTGTAAGACAGGTGGGAGCTGCAAGAGGGCCTTGCCTACATAGTACATAGTTGCTGGAAGGTGATGGCGGTAGTGCTACATCTAAACAGTAATACTACCAAAAATGGGTGATCATGTGCACATCACATGTTATGTCAGGGGGCGGTTGAGCTGGCAGTCTGGGACAGCTAATCCAGCTTCATCTATTGCAGAGACACAATCAGGTCATACAAACAGCGGTTGGGCTGGGACCGAGTGTTAGCTTGGTTTGGGCATTGGTGAGATTGCCACTGAGTGGGCAGGCAACCTTGACATGCGGGCTGGTCGGTGATGTGTTACCTGTTCCAACTCGGGGCTTTTACACTTAATGGCTCTCAGTTACCAGCAGGATACCATAAATTATAACCGAGAGACCCCAGAAACTGCTGGAAACGGTCTGTCTATGTTATTCCCTAATTCAAAATTGCCCTGCTTATGTACTCCACCCCTGTATATGCATCAATGATATTTGTAGAGTTTTTCTCCTGTAAAAATCAGATTTCAGTTCCCTATTCATCAATTGTGGATGAGCAGTTCTGTGCTCCTGAGATATTGTATATACTATTGAAAGGTTGCTGGGGATCATATTTGCAAGTCTGTATTAAAACTGAAAAAATGCGAAGCTATTTGTTATTTTTTGTGTGCATACTACATCTGGTGCTGCAGGGACCTTTAAGGGGCCAAATAAGCGGTGGAATAGACTCATATATACTCAAAAACATATAACTACTGTGCCAAGACATTCTATCATTGAAGGGGCAAAAATGCGGATGTGTTTTTGATATGTTTTTCCTGATTGTATGTACAGGCCTCTGGAGCTTATATTGGGACAAAAACAGACAAAAAAGCGTTCTATTGTGACCTATTGTATGTAAATAGCATACACTGACCCTTCTCTACAGTAAATAGGTGGATATGGTATGGTGGTGGGCAGGAATGTGCTGGGGAGGAGTGTGGGAAATGTTGAGATCCAGGAGATGGCCAGAAATGGCTGTGTTTTGGGTGTAGTGACAAATTTCCCACAGTCTAAAAAATGCGGTGGTGGGATGCATTAAAGATGCATTGGGTGATGACGGTGTTGGGGGGGTTTCGGCCTCCAGATGTTCGGACTTGAATGTTACCAAATGTCGGAACCGAACGAGGCTCCGAGTTGGAACAGGGTACTACATACTCCGGGCTGGTTGAATGACCTTATGTAAACGCTGATATACGAAGATGGTATAATTCAATACCAAATCAGACAAAACTCTGATACGTAAAATTTTACTAATTTCTGGGAGGGAGGGTGAGTGAAAATACGTGAGCGAGCGAGCAAGTCGAGCAAAACGAGCAAGCGGATCGTAATCGTCGTATGTTGCGGTGATGTTGCGGTGATTGGCAGAAGATGAGAGGATGTAGAGAAAGGCTTGTCGCTCAGCTGGACGTGTGGTGCCGGTTCCTTCCGGGCGTTCAGGAACTGGCACCTTTCACATCAATTTGCTCATTGAGCTTCGCAAGAGCAATGCTACCATCTGGGCCATGGATAGTGTTCTCCTTCAATTCGTATTCGACCTGTAGCTGTGATACGAGGTATCAATGCTGATAACTGTCTCAAAGAAGCTCATGGTCGAAGAGAGGTAGCAGGCCCGTCGTTCTGGAGACTTTTTGGCTCTTTTCCTGTCACTCTATGGTCAACTCCGAGGCTCAACCAGTCAAAAGTCAGGGACAATGTTCTATTAACGTCCATGGTATATTTAGAGTTTTTGACACCCCCTCGAAACACCCTCGAGTTTTCGACACGGTCAAAAACTGCCAATGATGTCAAAAACTCCGGAGTTTTTCACGGAACGCTAATGTGTTTGACTCCGTCTTCAGCGACAATTTTGTCAGTCTAACCTTTTGGGGGCCTCAATGTTGTCTGTTCAGCAAGTCAGACAATTGTCCTCTGGTGATTCACAACCGCTGCGAGGTCATACCTGAGAGACAGAATCCGAGTCTGTTGCTGGCTATATAGAGGTGAGGCAGGTCAGCGATGGTTCAATGATTGTCTTACAATAGGTGGGACATACTGCTATCACTGGGTAGGTTGGGGTTGATTTTCGTGGACGTGGTGGAGGGTGAGATGTTATTGGCTTCGGCTCTGATGATTCGGTCTGGTATTACGAGTACTTCTAGGCAAGGGGTAAAACGGTCAACCGTTTTTCAAATTCCGTCACATGTACTCGAGTCCACGTCTCGTACACCATCTTAGAAAACTCGCGTAACGCTGCAAGCAAGTTGGTGCAATATCACAATAATACAAAGATATGCTACTAGTAGTGAAGTGGTCAGGAAGTGATGCAAGAGGTACATTGAAGATCAACATCAAATCCATGATTATCATGACACCATTCTTCGTTCCCGGTCCCTCGTCTTCACGCCTGGACCAAACCGCTCCTGGAAGCTTATCAGTTCCTTCATTAGCTCCTCCATCATCTTCATCGTCGAAGATGCTGATGCACTTCCAGAACTCCAGTCGCCAGGCGAGGGCCCATCGATAGGGATAACGGCGGTAGTGTCCAAAACCATAGGCGAACCCATGGTGTCGCCTCCACGGACTTCACTATCATCATGAAGTGACGGATTGGAATTTGAAGCCTGCGCTTCCACCGCCCTCAGCGCCTTCTCCAGCGCGTCCCTCCGACGCCCACGGTCAGTGGCCCCTGCTTGTTCTCTTCCCACCCACTCCACCAATGCACGCACGCGCTTGTTCATATCCCCCACGCTCATTCGTTTACTGGGCCATTTGACCTTGACTCCCCTCTCCATGGTACGGTCGACCGATTCTCTGTAGATTGAGCCAATGGCCGAACCGCGGACTTCCAGGGGACGGGGCGTGTCTGTTGGCAGCATGGGTTCTAGGTGGGCAAGGTAGTCTGGTAAGTTCCATGACGTAAACATTGGTTGTTGCGAGACAGCGTAAGCATGGGAATTGCGGTAGGCGCGAGAATTCTCTGAATTGGCAAGTGCGGCTCCACCGCCGGCGCGCCTAGTAGGGTCACCTGGCACACTCCCGGCGTGAGAAGATGGAGGTGGTCTTTTGGGCGTGGGGTTAGTTTTGTTCCGGAGGCTTGCCACAGGTCGCTTGCTGGGACCAGCAACTTGAATAGTAAGTCACGTGAGTTAAATCATTCTCACAGGAATGCTACCGACCCTTACCTTCTTCACCCTCAGCGGCAGCGACTGCATCCTGATTGACAACTACTATTTTGCGTGATCCACCACCTCTTCGATTGCGGCTCCCGGACTTCGCGCCGCCGCCTGCCTTTTTGGCTGGAGGAGCTGGTGTCTCCTCTGGCACGGTTGTAGCTACTTCTGGCTGATGATCAGAGGCACTCGAGGCTGATCGTGTGCGTTTCTTGGGGAGACTGTGTCATGACGTCAGACAAAAGCAAATGAGCTTAGCAGGAATACTGACACGTCGTCCTCTGCACGCTTCCGCTTTTTGCGACTGTTTGAATCCTGATCTTCGTGACTTTCAGCCTGATCGTTGACACTCCCACTTGTTTGAGCGGGAAGCGGTTCTGTCGCGGCTGCAAATTCCGCTGCCGTTGCTTCGATGATCTCTTTTAAGCTCTCGTCAAACGCCGCGTCGCGACTGTTCATCGTGTTCCTTCTTTTGGGAGGTTTCAAAAGGTGTGTTGGAGAGTGTGATCGTGAAAGACGCGAAGCGGTGTGGTGTGAGTTGGCAGATGATTGGCGAGGCTTTTTAGCTAATCTCCTGTGGAAATGAAACCAGTCAAAAGAAGATAGTGGACACGGGGTCATAAACAACGCACCTCAAAAGGTCTTGATGGCGCTCAGGCTTGCATTTTTCACAATGGTATTCGTCCTGGAGATCTTCTTCGTGCTCGTACCCCATGCACAGGCCATGCTGCCAGACATTGCAGGTTTCACACTGAACCATGAATTCTCCTGCGTCGGCGTCTTCCTCTGTGGAAAAGTGAGAGAATGTTCGATATATAGTGGAAAATGACATACCATTCTGGCCACATACACAACGCGTGATACCCTGTTCCTCTGGGTCATGGTCCTGAGGGTCTGCAGCACTCCCAGCATGAGAGTTACTGAGTTTATTGGAAGCTGATTCGATCAATTGGTCGGTGGATGTAATGTTTTTCTCTTTGCCGTTGGCCTTGCGCTTTGCGCGCCCGTTGGAGTTCCCATGGCTGGGGTTGATGCCATTGGTCTGAGCGTTCTTGGTAGGGACAGGCTCCTCAGGATCCTCTTGCTTCAAACGCTTTGTACGGTTGCTGCTGTTATTGGAAGGTGGGACAGGACGTGTGGTAGCCTCCTTTGTTCGGGGGAGCAACTCAGAAGCCGGGGAGTCTGGTGATTTGGATGTGCTAGCTGAGGCAGATGGTGCAGAACGTCTACCTGAACGTCGTGTTTCTCGTGGGGAGAGAGGTGGTCCCATTATTGAGGATTGGGCCATAAACTGGTAGTGAGCTGGGAGAGGGGAAGAAGTTGTTTGGCAAGCTTGTGGTGGATCTGAGTATAGTTTGACTTTACATTTATTTAGGGCTGGCAGCACACTTGTTATCTTCCGACTCTTCTTTGTACAATCGTTCAACGCTTTTCGTCTCTTCAATTCCTTCTTCATTCTTCTACTTCACTTTAACGCGTTTTCAGCTGCAGGTGCTAGAGATAATCTGGCCAAAGACAATCCATTGGAGTCCTCGTCAGGTACAGTGGTCGTTCAGTTGGGATTAGGTACTAAAACTACACTCGGTGGGCTTCTCATCTTTTCTCTTACCAAAGACTGGCTAATCCTCAAATTGAACGGATACGCAAGTCGAGTTGTTTGTGTCTCTGCAAGTCTTCCCCATATACCCCGTCATTGATATCCCGCGCACGTGACCTGTCGACGGTGTATCACGTGTCGTTTTTAAAAATCTTGTGTACTCAGAAAATGGCATGGCTCTTGCTGGCCCCTGGGACTCAGTTAAGTTGTACTGGCAATTAATGAGCGCCGTGGCCCATGAGATCTAGAGGATCTAAGACTTAAAACCAAGTGACACTACGTGGTGGTTTAACCAATTCCGGCAAACACCGCAAGATTATGAGTCATTTTCGCTATCAAGAATCAAAAGGGTTTTTGATTGTGCTTGTCTCCAAATTCTTATATCCATGACTCCGACTATTGCAACGCTAGAGTACTCGTCTAACGCGCCCGATCCTCTCATCTATCCACGTCTGTCTGCACATCACTTGCTATCTTCAAAAGAGCCCGATTACCTTCGTCTTATACTCACTGCTAAAGTTTATGAAATCTTGAAGGAAACACCCCTGGTCTACGCTCCAAACCTTAGTGCAAAGCTAGGCAATCAAATATGGCTCAAACGAGAGGATCTACAAGAGGTCTTCAGCTTTAAGATCCGAGGTGCCTACAACTTTATGGCGGGACTATCTGAAGAAGAACGGTGGAAGGGTGTTGTAACATGCAGCGCTGGTTAGTGTGCGTACTCTTGCGGCGTCGTTCGGGCCTTTAACCATGTTATGATTTCCCTCATCTAATATGCTGACTTGGCACTATTAGGCAATCACGCGCAAGGAGTAGCTCTTTCTGGCGAACGTCTTGGGATACCCTGTACCATTGTGATGCCCAAAGGCACTCCGTCCATCAAAGTTCGCAATGTCGAACGTCTCGGTGCAAAGGTCGTACTCCACGGTGTCGACTTTGACGAAGCCAAGGCAGAATGTGCAAGACTAGCTGCCACCCATGGACTGATCTTTGTCCCTCCGTATGACGACCCCCTCGTGATCGCTGGCCAGGGCACCGTTGGGATGGAAATATTAAAACAGATACCTGACTCCGAAAGTCTTGATGCCATCTTCGGTGCGATCGGCGGTGGCGGTCTTGTCTCTGGGATTTGTGAATATGTCAAACGCATAGGCAGCCCAAACACAAAAGTGCATGGCGTCGAGACCTTTGATGCCGATGCCATGGCACGGAGTTTGAAGAGAGGGGCGAGAGTGACTTTAGCCGAGGTCGGTCCTTTTGCCGACGGGACCGCAGTAAGAGTTGTTGGCGAGGAGCCATTCAGGATATGCCAGCGACTCTTGGATGACGTGGTTCTAGTCGACAATGACGAAATATGCGCCGCTATCAAAGATATATTCGAAGGTAAGGTCTCTTTCATTCTCCATAGATGATATACCCCGCTCATAAACCTAGAAACTAGATCTGTCACTGAGCCTTCCGGGGCCTTGAGTCTGGCAGGCTTAAAGCGACACGTCATAAACAACAATCTCATCGGCGCAAATCGAAAATTTGTTGCCGTTGTCAGTGGAGCCAATATGAACTTTGACAGGCTGCGTTTCGTCGCAGAGCGCGCGGAATTGGGTGAGGGACGCGAAGCACTTCTGAGCGTGGTGGTACCAGAGAAGCCTGGAAGGCGAGTCCTGCAATTTAAACCACCACGTTCCCTTACATCTGTTATTACATTGTTTGACTTCTTTTCTCATCACATTCCTATGCAGCTTCTTCGCTTTACACTCCATCATCCATCCGCGGTCAACAACGGAATTCGTTTACCGTTATAATGATCCGACAACCGCACATATATTCCTCTCGTTCAAGCTAGATACCTCGTCTCGCAAAAAAGAAGTGGAGAAAGTGCTTGAAGAAATCAAAAATCAGGGGATGACCGGATTCGATATCAGCGATGACGAAGTCGGCAAATCTCATGCACGGTACATGATAGCTTCATGCACAACGGTCCCAAACGAACGAGTGTTCCGGTTCGGTAGGCATCCCTCAGGTATTTCGACTTCGCATTGTGCTTACCAGAACTTCGCGCCAGAATTTCCTGAACGACCAGGCGCCCTGCGCAAGTTCCTTCAGGGTATCCATGCCGGCTCAGGCTGGAATATATCGTTGTTCCATTACCGCAATCATGGCGCTGGTTCGTACAATGCCTTCTTCGGCACATTTTGTTCGCTCATAGATCTGCCGCAGATCTTGGCAGAGTTCTAACGGCCATCCAAGTTCCTCGAGAAGACTACGGGGCGTTCGACGAGTTTTTGGGCCAGTTAGGATATCACTATGTGGAGGAGACTGATAACGAAGTTTACAAACGGTGCCTTAGAGGACGGCTTCCTCAGAATGGATCAGCGTAGGATCTATTTCAAAAAGGTGGCTTAAAGTAGCTCGCCTGCGCCTGACTATGTATGCGATAAGCAACCGCGGATGTTAGACTAACCATTTCGGCGTTGTCATTTATGGAGCATGTCTACACAGAAGCTTCATGTATTTAAGTAATTAGAGATTAGAAATACTGCGGCTTAGTAGAGACAATGGGCGCTGCGGGTTCAGGAAGGCTTAGCTATAAGTAATCTATAGGACGCCGATTCACGAACTGCGCGCCGCAAGCGTTAGTTTAATGTACAAGGTGCGTCGGCACAAGTGCCGCACTATGCTAACAGAGATGTAAGTTACAGAGAATGTCAGAGAGCACAAATGACTTGAGGCTGATTAATGATTGCCAGGTCGCTCAGGTCTGCTGGGAAGTCCCGTCTTCGTAGAAAGGGACAAGTCGCACGACTAACATGCACATGACTCCTTGACCAAGTCGATGTCAGTAGCATCCTGTAGCATGTCAGCGCACGGTTCCGCTATGATAATGCAAGGGTTCTAAGTAGAAAGAAAGCCCACTGGTATCCGACGATACATAAACAAGCAAGTAATAAGTACTGTAAGTGCATAAGAGGACAATAAATGTGATTTTTACAAAGAAAAGTACACCAGTGCTGGTATGTGTTTGAACGGGTTGTTTTTAATATATGAGCGGTCTGTGGGGCCCGTCAATGACGATGTGAGAGGGATTGATGTGTTCTACTTGTTTAAAAAGCATTTGGACAGTGAAGAAAAGCGAAGTGCTCCCGAGCAATGGAGGAAAATCTAGCGTCGAAACCCTGCCTCATCCGCGACTTTCATTATTCCATCCGTGATTTCAGAATAGATACGGTCACTGGTACGGAAAACGTGTTCGTTGCAATAGAGCTACCAGTGAATGAAGACTTGCTCTTGCGATACAAAAAGCGCCTAAGAGGAGATTAGGCAGTAATGTAAGCCTGCTTGGCGAGGGAAACTGTTGGTGCTGGTGCTGGTGATGAGGGGGAGTTGGGAAGTGTTGCATCTCCAGGATGGCTTTCACGGCCAGGGACGTTGTGAGACCGCGGTTTCCGATACTGATACCGGTGGACCCATATTTATAGATCCATCCGATTTCCCAGCCTCCATCTTCGCATTGCAAAGGCAACAGAAGGCGAAGATCAACATCGTTGCGCAATCCAAGGTAGGCACAAAGCCGGAGGCGCATGGAGAGTGCCAAAGCGTCACCCTCGGCCCCTATGCGCTCTTGAACACGTTCAATCAGCAATGGCTTTAAATAGGCTGCCAAGTAGACGTCGTTGCTGATCTCAAGCAGTCGGCCAAGGAAATAAAGGAAACACTCCGGGGTCGTGTAATATCGTGTGCCATCGACATAAGCTCTATGCAGGAGCACCTTGTGTATCCAGTGAAGGGTACGGTTGAGCTGGTGACCACGTCCATAAGAATAGAACAATGTGAGTGCATTGACGCAGACGACCGGATCAAACCGAGGTCGGCGGTGGTCAAAGTATGTCTGTGATCCAGGTCAGCCAAAGCATGGGAAAGGACTGCTGAATCCACGTACCTGGATAATTCCGTCATCATCGATGTAATCAAGCATTTCATCCATGATTGGGTGTGCGACGTCCTCAGGGCTGTTCATTACGGTCAACGCGAGGGAAGTGGTATCCAAGTCAAAGGGAAACTCTTCGGTAGTAAGCAGTGGCTTCCCTGATAAGAAATCAGCCCACTGAATGATAGTGGCCAGAATTGTTACATACCTTGAAAGAAATTCCAAGTTCGAGGTGTATCAGTTAAATCAACAAGACTCCTGATGTGCCATTCATTAAGTGGGGGGAAAGAAATGTAATCCTCTTACGGGTCATGAGTCGCCTCTAATATCAGGAGCTGAGCGAAGTTCTCCCGCAAAAGAATGCCGCTGTCAGTTACGGATTGGAGTTTCTTGGCATTCAACGTCAAGTACTGTCTCCCCCTTTCGACAGGATCTCCGAGTAGGTTATAAAGCGCGCGGATGACTTTACGGTGATCATCGAAAATAATACCGTGCATTCCTAGCGAACGCGCGGATAGGACATTCTCTATTTTGTCGTCCACAAAGATGGTGCGGGAGGGATCAGCCCCCGTGCTCGAAAGCACTGCCTTGTAGAAGCCAAGGTTTGGCTTCCGCTCACCCACCGCAGCAGAGGTGAAGATGTCGTCGAACAACGACCAGTCGACAGGCTTGGTACGGAGAACTTCATAGTCAGGCACAGAGATGTTTGACATGGCGAACACACGTAGCATTCCATTCGAGCGTGCTTTGAGGTGTCGAATGACCGAGATGAGGTCTTCATTGGACTGCAACGAGTCACGAGCATCTTCAAACGCACGACCAACCTCTGTGGGGTCTATAGAGAATTCGCTGCCGGCCCTAGCGTAACATTCGGCTTGAGAAATCTTCCCCCTCTCGTAGTCGATCCATGTGGGAGAGGTCAGAATTTTACGTAGAGCCTTTGGTGATATAGAGGTTTTGGTCTGCGGGGACCAAGAGAACAAAACGTCTCCGATGTCGAAGACGAGGGAGGTGTAATTCGAGGTAAATGACATCAGGGTCAGTCAAGCGTCGCAGGTGAGAATGTAAAACGGGGCAAAATTGAGAATATGTTCTTCCATAGATGGCTATTTGAATGCACTGGGGATAGTCCGGTAAGTTGCTCTGTGCATAACATTAGCAAACCTCCGCAGGTTCACAATCTAAAGGAAGGGTCTTACGTACTAATTTTTTGTCGAGGATCCTAACTGGGACCTTCGGGGGAGCGGCAGGGCTTTACGTGCAGCCCGATCGAGGATTGTGAGACTACTACATGATGGGCGTTCGAATTGTCGATTAATAGGGACTAGTGCAGTCACTAGCTTGCTGCGGGAGCAGACCACGACTCGAGACATTTAGATCTACTATCGCATATGGCAGGTCGATGTCAGAAAAAGAAAATATAATAAAAACACCCCCACCAACTTAACAGTTTATGGCTTCTGTTCCCCTTGTGAAAGGAGGGACTACGCTTCGCTGGTCGAAGGGATAGGAATATCCTGATCCAAAGACGATTAGAAATTGCCACAATATCCAGATTTAAAGGGGAAGGTGCCAAGGAGAAGGTGATCAACCAGCTTCTTGGAACTAACCATCAACCCCTTGGCGGATGCATTTCCCTTCCGCTTCTTGAATTATTCGGTTCTGTCTGAGGGCGCCAGAAATTGAACCATAAGATGAGCATACTCCCTCGATTTTCGTTGAAAAACATCCGCGAAATTGCTTGCAGCTGATGACGCTGGAATGGGAAACTTTGAGTGAACCTATGATAGTTAAGTATAGCTCACCGACCTTCGCGGACGCTCGCATGCTAAACCCAAGATGAGCGAATGGGAAGCACCTGAGATGAATATACGAGGACCATCTTTGCCTTGAGTAAGATAATGGTGTCATGCTTTGGACAATCTGGCCATGCACAAATTGGGCCATTGTCTTTGGTGATTGACCCTTTACACAACCAGTCTATTTCATTTCAGCGATGACCACTTGGTGCTGATTACGTACCTCCGTGATAGTGACCGGTAATCAACCTACGTGCCAGTGAACCCTGGTTCACCACGGACAAAGGTGGCGTACAATGGTGACAATGAGTCTCCGATGTTATTCTCCCCTAGGCAGACCCTAGAAGAAAGATTTTTCTTGCCCTTTTTACGGAGGTGCACTAAATTTCGTGCAAGGGATCACCCCGAAACCGTACTAGGCTACACTAGCCACCGAAAAGTGTTGGAGCGGGACGAATCGAGGATGACGAGCATCGCGATGACAATGAGTTTCGAAACACGAGGTTGTAGCCGTCGCTTTAAAGTTCGCAATATTCCTGCGCTCGTAGGACTTTGATTAACGTCCACAGGAAAGTCCTGCATAAAGTAAGTGTAGATAATGCAACGGATCCATGTAAGTATGTAAACCATGTTCCCATACAATGGGACATAAATAGAGAAGCTTGTTCCATGCACGACTAAGCGCACTGCAACGGTTGTAAAATGAACAGGAAGACCTGTGGTCTCTGCTGGTGATTGAGAGGTACATATTCGGCAAAATCTACTGTTTTCAAGAGATAGTGAAGAGGACGCGATACCGCAACATTATTTACGCCCGCGTAGAGGGTGAGTCGAACGTCAGAGTACTACTTCCACGAAGCAGTGGGGAATCCGCAAAATATGGTTATCGAAAAATGGGAGCGATAGTCGTATAATCAAGACACGTGTGCGAGGCACCTTCGGAGAAATAAAGTGGAGAAAAATGGAACAGTTAGGCATTCAAAATCACTAATGCAGAGGGCTCAATCTGATTGCTCCTTGGGATTGTACTATGCGTAGCAGTAGCTATCGCCGTTGCGTGTAGAAGTAAGTCCGACAGAGGTGACAGAATGCACAAATTGGCAGATCAGCCCTGCCAGTGGCAATAGCAATAGCGCGAAGATGCGATGTTGTATGTGCAATGTGTAAAACGCTACGCTACTGGATGCGGATTCGATTAGATGATGGTATATCTGTGGGGCTCCTCTATCCGGGAGTTAGTGCACTGACGGACGACTTACTGCTATCACTTACCAGTAACATGATCAACCGAGCCAACTCAGTGCTTCTGCTGTGCCCCTGGCTGCGCTTTGGAGTAGAAATTATCAACCACCACATATGCAGTAAACGCCACTAATGCAATCCCAAGCCCTGGAAACATGCTAGAAAACATGGCACGGTTCGAGAATACAGGGTGTTTCCGCCACGCTTCCCTCTTCGCCCAAGGGTCACGAAACAAAGGTGGGTTGGACATGACTAAATCACGGATGAATATCACGACGACTTCAGATGTCACTGAGCGCCATATGCGACTTACTTGGGCACCTGTTAGAATTCGTTTGTTTTCGGCTTGTTCAGCTGCGATTCCGAAAGCGTTGCTATAGTGCGTGAATGCGAATACCTATATTTGGTCATCAATGAAGGCACGGGTGGTCATGTGATCTTAAGGCTCAGGGCCGGTCTATCGGGACTTGAGAAAAATCAACAACTGCCACAGCGCGGGAGAGGCCTTCTTTCCTTCATTTCTACTGTTGTTCTTGCTTTCTTATTTCTCTGTATTCCTACATAGACACTCCTCTGCTATTCGTGCTAAGCTCTCGCTTCAAATAATGTCTAGCGATGCCTATATGTCTTCAGATGACGACCGACCACTTGGCTCACTCCAAAACGGTGGTAAGGCCAGCCAAGCTAGAGTCGGCGTAAATGGACACGTTAAAGAGGAAGCTAGTGATTCCTCTATGAGCGAGGAGGAGGACATGCCTTTGGTTCGTGTACCCCTGTCCATGTGCTGCATGCATCGTTGACTATCTTGCGCAGTCTCAAGTTACAGCTCCAAAATCCGAACCTGTAACTCCAGCAAAGTCCTTGCGGCGCAAGCGAGCTCCTGCACTCGACTCGTCCAGTGAGGATGATGATACCCCGCTTGCGTCCTCTCCTGTGAAGCAATCTGCTTCTATACCGATGCCGGGGACATCAAAAGCGTCCACGGTGAACGGACACAAAGCAGTCAAAGCTGAGAGCGATGACAAACGTAGTTCTACCTCTACTAAGAAGAAACGTGCTCCTACGAAGAAAGGCCCCCCACAGAAAAAATTGAAACGCGACCCTGACGCTTCCGAACCTCCCGTTTCTGAAGGCGAGGAGTCTACACCAGTCAAGAAAGAGAAGGCGTCGAAGAAACGAAAGTCCAAAACCAAGGATGAGACTGATGCAGATGTGGAGGATAGTGGAAAATCTAAGCCCGCGAAAAAGAGAGCCACTACGAAGAAGGTCAAGGATGAAGCGGACGGATCGGCGACTCCCCAGCCCAAAAAAAAGGGGAAAGTCAAAGATGAAGGGGAAGATGAGGAGGAAGTTTACAGGTGGTGGGAAGCCCAGCAGAATAGCGACGGTGAAGTAAAGTGGCAAACGCTAGAACACCATGGTGTTATCTTTCCCCCACCATACGAACCCTTGCCCTCGAATGTGAAAATGAGGTACAAGGGTATGTGGTCGTCTTATTCATCCCACAACGACACCTTGTTGATTGCGTTGTAGGTAAAGAAGTAGATCTGCCACCAGAGTCCGAAGAAGTGGCCGGGTTTTACGCCGCTATGTTGGAAACGGAGCACGCTCAGGATGCCACGTTCAACAAAAACTTCTTCGAGGACTGGTTGAAAGTGCTTCAGGACTATCCTCCTGTAAGTAAAATACTTCGGGTGCCTCTCCCTTGCTCAACCATGAAATAGCACAATAAGATCAAGATCGCGAAATTTGAGGATTGCGATTTTCGGCCCATGTTCGAGCACTTTGAAGTAGAGAAAGCTAAAAAGAAGGCTCTCAGTACCGCGGAGAAGAAAGAACTCAAGAAGCAGAAAGACACACTTGAAGAGAAATATGTCACCTGTCTGCTTGACGGTCGCAAGGAAAAGGTGGGCAACTTCAGGGTTGAACCTCCTGGCTTATTCAGGGGTCGGGGCGATCATCCGAAGAAAGGCGCGTTGAAAGTAAGCACTTTCGCTAGGATTTGGAAGAAAACTAGCTCACGCATGTTAGTTCCGAGTGCGCCCGGACGATATCACCATCAATATCGGTGAAGGCGTCCCTATCCCAGTACCCAATATGCCTGGAAACTGGAAAGGCGTAGTGCACGACCAAACTGTCACCTGGTTGGCCAACTGGGTTGAGAATGTCAACGGCAATTACAAATACGTATTCCTAGCCGCAGGCAGCTCACTTAAAGGACAAAGCGACATGCAAAAGTTCGAGAAAGCCCGTGAATTGAAGGTGCAATCAACCGCTGACTCCGTTGCTCCGTCGCCTGATATTCTCGTAGAACCACGTGGACCGGATTCGCAAAGACTATACGGCCGATCTGCGGAGCAAAGTCATGGCAGATAGGCAGCGTGCGACAGCAATGTACTTCATTGACAAGCTTGCTCTTCGAGCCGGGAATGAAAAGGGTGAAGATGAGGCCGACACCGTGGGCTGCTGCTCTCTGCGTTGCGAACATGTCACGTTAGAAGCGCCGGATTCCCTCATCTTTGATTTCCTGGGTAAGGACTCGATCCGATACTACAATCGAGTATCTGTGGATCCCCAGGTTTTCAAGAATATCAAGCTATTCAAGGACAACAAAGAGGATAGTGATAACCTCTTTGACCGAGTTAATGTGATGCAGCGATCTTTAAACGTTTAAAAAATATTCCGCTGACGGTTTCTCCTAGACATCGCTCCTGAATAAGCACCTGGCATCGTATATGAAAGGACTGACCGCAAAGGTTTTTCGTACTTACAATGCGTCCATCACGTTTCAACAGCAGTTGGACGAAGGAACGCCAGCGAATGCCACTATCCAGGAGAAGCTGAATGCATATAATCATGCAAATCGTATGGTGGCCATCCTTTGTAACCATCAGCGTAGCGCGCCGAAGACTCACGAACAATCGATGGGCAAGATGCGTGATAGGGTTCGTTTGTCCTTCATGATGCGATCTAACAACTGACAGCATGGATAGCTTCGTTCCTTGAAGTATGATCGTATGAAGCTTCGTCATGTCCTCTTCAACATGGACCCCAAATACAAGAAGCAGAAACAGTACGCCGATGACGAGTCCGATTTAGATGACGATTGGATAGAGGAGCATGAAGAGTCCCTTAAGACGAAGGAAATCGAGAAGGCGGAGAAGAAGTTTGCCAAGGATAACGAGAAGCTTGTTCAGGAAGGCAATAAACCTCAGCCCGACTCAATCTTGCAGGAGAAGATTGAAGCCGTTGAAGCCGAATACAAGAGGATCGCCAAGGAACGTGGCACAGAGAAAGCCAAACTTAAGAGGGAACGTGCTCCCGAGAAGATCGAGGAGGCTATTCAGAAGCTGGACGAGAAGATAAAGACCTTTAAGCTTCAGATGGACGATCGGGAGGCTGGCAAGGAGGTTGCTCTTGGTACAAGGTATGTCGTGGTTACCTGAGGGGTAACTCGTTCTCATCTTCCTCAGTAAAATCAATTATTTGGACCCTCGGTAAGTTACAGCTCTCTTTCATGAATCATTGACGCTAACTCATTCTGTCGTCTAGGATAACAGCTGCATGGTGCAGCGCTCACAACGTACCGATAGAAAAAATCTTCTCGAAAACACTCCTGACTAAATGTGAGCTCGCATGGAGGACATTTCGTGGCACTCCGTACTGACGCTCATTTCAGTTCCCTGGGCTATGGAAGTCGACGACGTTTGGAAATTCTAGTCCATGCTTCATCTGATAGCTGGACCTTGGCATACTTGAGCTTTACGAAGGGCTTTTAGACTGCTATCATTATTCCCTAGAGGATTAATCTAGGCTTAGGCAAACTAACCCTGCCCCCTCCTTATGGGAGGCTCATTATGCACATACCTAAGTAATAATACATCATGATAGATTTATGACATTGACACGTACGGAACCATTCAATGGTGTTTGGTTCAGCGTGACGCATTTCACGTGTTGCGCCATTTCAACTTTAATGCTTTGCATGCGAACTGCATGCATCAGACCTTTTAACTGCTACCTTGTTTGCTATCATGAGTAGGTCCTCTAGCACAACAACGAACCTGCCATTTGTTTCTAGGTCTGCCTTCGAGGCCCTCACCGTCGATGACGGGGAAGACACTGAGGACGAACAGCAAGAGGAAGAAATACTGCAGACACAGGTGACCAGGTTTGTCTTCACTGACGTTTGCGACCATAGCTTGCTCACTGGGCTATTTAGCACCGAGCATGCGAAGCCATCGAAATCTCAAATCAAGAAGGCTCAAAAACAAGCTCGTATTGAAAAGCGAAAACAACTCAAAGCCTCCTCAAAGGCAGGTACCGCGGATAGTTCACCTAGACATACGCCCTCTCTGGAAGAGTCTATTGCGCGTACGGCTGAAGCAGCGGCAGATGTTCCTCCTACGAAACATAATGCTCCCGAGGCAAGGCCCGCCGCAGAGCCACAACACGAGCCAACGCCCCAGCCGGAGGTAGAGGAACCATCGCATCCACAATTTCCTATTAACGGAGATGTGCACCATGCGGATGTCGCGGAAAGTATGCATCTTGGCTTCTGTCTGGGTGTTTAGCTAACGCAATATTCAGACAACTCTACACCACACCCCCTCCCCAGCAAGTCGCTGGACGATGAAAGACTGTCTGTCTCAAAACCTGACGTCGAGCAGGCACTCAAAAGCGAGCCCGACCCGCAAGAAGTCGAACGCACAAAGAAACGACAAAGCATCCTAACACGAACATTATGGACGTTCATCATGATCGGAGGTTTTATTGGTATGCATTCTTCTGTTCCAGGTCGTGTTGGTATCTAACCATTGTTTAGCTCTGCTACTCATGGGCCATGTTTACATGATAATGCTTGCCATGCTGTGTCAGACGCTCGTCTACCGCGAGGTTACTGCTCTATTTTCGCTCAAAAACACTGCCGCGGAATCAGGCGAGATAGAAAATAAAGGAAAGAAAGATCCATGGAGCAAAACTCTCAACTGGTACTTCTTTGCAGTCACCAACTATTTTCTGTACGGGGAGAGTATTATCTACTACTTCAAGGTATGAGAGAAATTTTGTTGTGAATTACCGTATGCTGAATTGGTGATCAGCATGTTATATTCTCGGATGGCCAACTGCTTCCTTTCGCTACCAATCACAGAATCATAAGCTTTACGCTATATACCATTGGCTTCGTTGGTTTTGTCATGTCTCTCAGACGTGGATTCCTCAAGCAGCAATTCGGCCTCTTCTGCTGGGTTCACATGAGCTTGCTACTGGTCGTTGTCTCTGGGTATGCATCTCGTCGATTCTGTCAAATTCCATTCTAAAGGTAATTTTGCAGTCACTTCATCGTGAACAATATCCTTGAAGGCATGATTTGGTTCTGGGTTCCTGCCTCATTGGTTATTTGCAATGATATCTTTGCATATGTGTGGGGCATTACCGTCGGGCGCACACCTTTGATCAAGCTCTCGCCGAAGAAGACTGTTGAAGGGTTTGTGGGTGCCTTCTGGAGCACCCTCCTGTTCAGTGTGCTCTGGGGCTCGTACTTCATGCGCTTCAACTACATGATCTGCCCTGTACATGATCTTGGAGTCGATGCCTGGAGTAATGTCCAGTGTACGCCCAACCCAGTGTTTGTCTGGAAGGTGTGGCAAATCTGGTCGCCTCTCAGGGTATTTCTTTCGCGGCTCGTGAGTGAAAACTAAGGTTGTTTTGTATAACTGCTCAGAGTTGCTATTAGCTGGGAAAATCAGTAACTGTGATTCCCTATGCACCATACCAACTACATCTCCTGGTTTTCGCAGTTTTTGCGTCCCTCGTGGCACCGTTTGGAGGTTTCTTCGCGTCTGGTTTTAAGCGCGCCTTCAACATCAAGGATTTTGGCCACAGCATCCCTGGTCATGGAGGAATGACCGATCGCATGGACTGCCAGTGAGTTCTAAATCTTCAATCTCTTCTATCGAGGCACTTACGCCATTCCTAGATTCCTCATGGGCGTCTTTACCTACGTTTATTACAGTAGCCTTATTCGAGAACACCACGTCAGCGTGGGTTCTATCTTGCAGATGATCGTTAGTGGGCTTACCGTTGATGAGCAGTTGGAGTTGATCAAGGACCTAAAGAAGTACATGCAAGGTCAAGGCATCGCGATAGCATGAACTGGCACGATTTTATGCTCCCATTTACAACTGGACAAGACTCGTTATGATTAGCACATTTTAATTCACTGAATCATATGTGGATAATGCTTTTGCAATGACATGCATTTAGATATCATGCGAATGATGACGACGGCCTGCCATAGAACATATTTCCAGCGAGACGGAATGGGTTTGGTAGATTACGAGACAGGAGCAGTGTAACCCTATGATATGGTGGTTTGGGCTTTTCATTGGCGTGCGGCATGTGACACAGGCATAATCATAGGTAATGCGATAGCATGAAATGGCAGTGACAAGAGAATGATGCTTATGACCGGGGTTTTTCCTGGGAAGAGAATGAGTCTAATGATGAGCATCATAATTCGGATTAAACTGACCTTCTTCTCTTTCCACAACGCGAGGAGACCGACCCCAGAAACCTTCACTACTTTGAAGCGCACACCAGGAATATCACCTTTGGCCTTGCCACTACGGCCAAAACCAGAGATAAGAACTTCATCGTTCTCATCGACAAAGTTCAAGCAACCGTCATTCTGTACCCATGCATTAGTATATTCACGACAAGCAACTATGAAAGCACGCACAGGTACGAAAGCCGTGACCTTTTTGCCGTTCTTGATAAGTTGTACACGGACACATTTACGGATGGCAGAGTTGGGCTGTTTGGCTTCGACACCAACTTTCTCTAGGACGATGCCCTTTGCGTGTGATGATCCTCCAGTAGGAGAGGTTTTGTAAACGTTACCGAGGGCGCGTTTCTTATACGCCTTATCCGCCTGTTGAGAACAGTATACAGTCTCAGGTGTGTGACGTCCCAGAGATTACAAGCACAAACCCATCGGTTTACACGGCGGTCATTGCGAAGCTTACGAGCGGCTTGAAGTCCACGAGGTTTGTTGGCTGATGAAAGAGTTCGTTAGTATATGATTGCTCTACTGGTGATCATAGTGAGAGGGACATACAGCCCATTCTTGAAGTCGACGAGGACGGCGAGGATAACTTTCCACTTGTGCTGGCGACCACCTCGGCATTGTCCCGAAACCTTAATTATAACTATTACAGTTTATCAGCCACAATCGCTCATAATCACGTGATGATAATGTTGGTGGGCCGGGCCCAAGCCGGGCCGGTCCGACTATGCAACTGGGTGTGTTGCCAGCTATTCACCTTCTTAGAGCTTCTTAGAGTCAAGGCTCTCTCTGGGAACAGTTAAATGATTAGGTCTCACTTTGTTGCACAGGAAATTTGGTCAACACACGTTTCCTTGGATAGTCTCGATGCTGCCGAGTTGTGACCTTGTCGCCGTCGGTTGGCACCGGGCCATCATGATACTCGTACTCTATAATAAATACCCTCTACCCCATCCCACTCCCTGTCATTGTCGTGTAATGCGGCTGGTCACGAGTCTATACCTTGGTGTTTCTTTTTGTGCCTGTGGTTCACATTCTTATCTTCGAATCTCATGAATTTGTCACATGGTGCACTGCCGGTTCTTCGATAGTTCTGTCCGAGTCTCTAGTCTGAGAACGTTATATCTTTGGTCTGTTCGCTGGTGATGGTTTTGATATCCCTTGCTCCTAACTATGTCTCAGGACTCTGAAATCCAATACTACCACCACGGGCGCTTCCGTGTTGCAGGCGGTGTGCTGCCTGATGCCATTACTGCATACCAGACATTTGGGGACCCAAAGAACCCGGTTATTGTATTTCCTACATGTTATGGAGGGAAACTTGACAGTGAGTCACCCAAATCACTTCTCATGGCGCTCCGTTTGATAACTGAATCAGACAATGGATTATTAGGTCAAAGCTATATGGTAGGGGAAGACAAGGTAAGGGCATGTCGCTTGATCGTGTTTGTGAACTGACGCCAGCGATAGGCTTTGGATCCGCGTAAATACTATGTGGTGACCTTCGCCTTATTTTCCAATGGAGAGGTAAGCTACATGATCTGAAGATGGTGTGATCAGGCTCAACCCCCCTGTTGCTTTAGTCTTCTTCACCTTCCAACACAGTGAGTTTCTTCAAAGTAATGTCCTACACAAGCATTCATAATGTCAATGATAGCCTACACCATACAACGGCCCCTACTTCCCTGCCGTCTCCTACGAGGACAACATGTGTGCTTGTTCTAACTTAATTTGTTGAAGCCGCTGATGTAGTTCAGCCGGGCACAACACGCCGTGCTTACCCAGAAGCTTGGCGTCAAGAAGGTTTTCTGCGTGATTGGATTTTCAATGGGCGCGCAGCAGGTAAGCGTGTTCGTGGAGAAAAACGATGGTTTTGCTGAGGCCTTGTAGGCGTACTACTGGCCAGTCATGTATCCCGACTTCGTTGAAAGGTTTGTTCTTATACGACTCTTTGAGTAACTTTTTCTCTAACCGCGATCAAGATATATCCCCATCTGTGGATCTGCTCGCACTAGCCCTCACAACCAATGGTACCTTTTGCCTCCTTACATTTATCTCTGTGTTGAAACTGCCCCAGCTTCTTAGAAGGCCCTAAAGCTGCTCTTTCAGCTTCAAAGGATTTCCAAGACGGTCACTACAAGAGTACTCCTCAACATGGTATCCGGGCATTTGGCCGTGCATACAGTTCATGGGCATATAGCCAGGCGGTGAGCTTCCGAAGCTCGAGCTGACCGTTGTACTGAAATTGCTGTAGTGGTATGCTAAGAAAGGTTATCTCTTCGACGGAAAGTACGCCATTTCTATATTTGACACTTTGTGTTCTCAATAGAACCCTTAGATACACAAGCCTCAACGACTTCCTAAGAGAGGATTGGGAAGCTGGCTTTTTGGAAGGGTGGGATGCCAATGATTTATTGGTGCTCTTGAGGACATGGCAAACGGGGGATGTTTCTCTCATCCGTGACGGAGGTTACTTTGCGAACTGCCTAGGAGCGATCAAGGCCAGAGGTCTGATCATGCCTTGCAAGAAAGACCTGTACTTCACGGTGAGTCCTTTCACATCTGTTGCTTTGTTTGGTTCTGATGGCTCCTTGGATAGCCGGAGGACAGCGAGAATGAGATGAAATACTTGAATAATGCAAAGCTCATTATCATCGATTCTGAGTGGGGCCATATGGGTACGTTTGTTGGGCTCGATTTGCTTCAAACGGCCCCTTGCTGATATTCTGTAGCTGGTGGGGGATCGAACGCAGAGGATGTCGAGTTCGTGAAAGCAGAGGTGAAGAAATTTTTGGATGAACCTTAAGTTCGAACTACTGCAGAAATCGTCTACGATGCCATGCATGTGAAGTTTGTAAGCTAGTCAATCTCGTACCTCCAAGTTGCCTCCAAGTCTCTAAAAATGATCTCAAAAGTCTGGTGATACCGGCAAGATAACGGCCACCCACGCTCACACGCTCTGCTGTTGTATTCTACCGAAACGACCTATCATGGGGTACTTTCGGTCGCCGTTCGCAATGCCCTCGGACTAAATGCCAAAGCCCAGGAGCTTCAAGCGATATTATATTGTTTCTATCTTTAGGTGGCTCGTGGTCATAAGACCCATATTACCCAGCTCAACGTCTACTTACCCGCATGGTGTATGTAGGACCTCCTATATGAAGCCCATGCACGCGTGACATAAAAGCATGCTGTTGCAGTCAAGACAATATTCCCCCCCTCGCCCCCTAGGCTATCCCCCATGCAGGTCACAGAAACTCAGTATTACCATCACGGTCGCTTCAAAGTAGCAGGGGGAGTACTCCCTGATGCCGTAACCGCATACCGGACATACGGAGATCCGAGCAATGAGAAAGTGATCGTTTTCCCGACGTGTTATGGGGCAAAACTGGCTCTTGGAAGTATGTTTCGTTGATTGTGAACGTGAGGTCAGTTGCTTATCTAGTCACTCGCAGGTCAAGACTACCTCGTTGGGGAAGGCAAGGTGCGTAGACGCTCATGTTGTGGGATGCGTGGTCTCCATGTTGTGACAACAGGTCCTTGACCCAAATAAGTACTTCGTGGTGACATTCGCGCTTTTCTGTAACGGAGAGGTGCGCTGTCCTCTTCCTTGCCGTTTCACTGGCATTGGCTGAAACAATATAGTCGTCTTCTCCTTCTAATACAGTTAGTTTCCACATTGCACGTCTTTACCGACCTTTCTGACGACTCGTTAGCCTGCACCTTATGGTGGCGCGTACTTCCCGTTCGTTTCCTACGAAGATAACATGTAGGTTTTCAACGACTTGCAAACAGAATACACTCTCACCTCAGCAGTCGCGCTCAGCACGCAGTATTGACGAAGCACCTTGGAGTGCGCAAGGTGTTCTGCGTGGTTGGATTTTCTATGGGTGGTCAACAGGTACTTCACCTCTTTAGGATATCACAGGCACTCTCTCAGGTCCTTTCCCAAGTCATACCACTGGCCAGTCGTCTTCCCTGACTTCGTAGAGCGGTTCGTTGCTATATGCACGTCTGCTCGTACAAGTCCCCATAACCAATGGTGCGTCCTTGTCTGAACTTTTTTTTTCAGCATACGACTTCCGCTCTAGCTTCCTGGAAGGACCAAAGGCAGCGATGTTTGCAAGCAAAGATTTTGCCGATGGCCATTATCAGAGTACTCCTCAGCATGGAATTCGAGCGTTCGGTCGAGTCTACTGTGCATGGGCCTATGGGCAAAGTGTGAGTCACCTCGCGATGGAAGATCCAGATAATATAACTTTCATAGTGGTTCCGGGAGTACAAGCACCTTATGGACGGAGAGTAAGTCATGTCGGAGTACGTGTTCATTAGCCCCCTTCATGAATTTTTGTGCACAGATACCCGGACTTGAACTCTTTCATTCGGGAGCGGTGGGAAGGAAGATATATCGAATACTGGGATGCAAACGACATGATCGCACTTTTGAACACGTGGCAGAAAGGAGATATATCGATCGTTCGTGATGGCGGAGACTATGAAAAAGCGCTGAAGAACATCAAAGCAAAGGGACTTATCATGCCTTCGAAGACGGATCTTTACTTTCCGGTTAGTCCTGTACCAAGTAAGAGCGAACTGACTACTGATGCCATTAAAGCCGGAGGACAGCGAGATCGAAGTATCTCACCTTAAAGATGCTAAATTGCATGTGATCCCATCGATCTGGGGTCATGTTGCAGGGGGTGGCGGTAACCCGGCAGATGTCGTTTTCATATCAGAGAAGATCAAAGAGTTTTTGCAAGCACCTTGATGGCGAGACTTCGATTGTATATACTGCTCTCCACATGCCTGTTTTAAACGGATTGGGTAGATTCAATACTTTGAGATATCGGGTCCAAAGGAATGTCACGTTTGAATTGAATATCCGTCTGTGAAACTGTGCCCATAGTTTTCTCGCGTCGGCGTTGCATGATGGCTCATAGGTTGAAAAGAAGATGGGAGGATAAAACACTAATCGCTTACAGGCAAATGTTAGATGCCTTCAGAACGCTCGCGGGTTAAACCTACGTGTTGATGGACTGCATATTCAGACTCCACCGAAAGATGAGCAAAACCTAGTTGAAAATGGTCTCTGGCGGCCTTATCGGAAGGGCATCTTTAACCACAATGTTGGCGGTTGACTTTGCTTATGCAGTCGCTGAGTGTCCTTCCGAATCCAACAACGAGAAGTGCTCACCTAATACTTACTTGTACCCAGAACACATATTGTAACATTCATTAAAAAGTTGTACTGAATGTTATAATGTGTTCTGGGTATATTACATCGGTGATGCCAGGCTTGAAAAACGTCAAAGAATAGTATGACTACGTGTAGGAGTAGCACCAAAGAAAGGGGAACTTTTTAATCCGTCTCGTAAACACCTAGCAGAACATAGTTAACTGCGTATATCGCAATTCCTTGGGTTTGATAACAGCTAGAAGTTGTTAATGGGGATCCTAATCTACATCATAATCACGTCCGACTTGAGACTAGCCAAGGAGGGTGGCAATGGAATGTACAGGTGAACAGGGATAAAGGACGGGTTTAGCAGCGCAAGTGGTAGGAGGGCAACGAATAACACCTTTACTTCTGCCCCATAACGAGTACGTCTTGACAAGAAGGAGTATTGGACATCTGTTGAAGATTAAACCAACACAATACGGGGTAGTATGCATTACATTCTACGACAACAGTGCCTATTATATAATGTTAACCCCTTTGGATTATATTTCAGCAAAGGTGCAAATCTCACGTTGGAATGGTGGGGGGGGTACGTACAGGAGGAGGCTCGGTAGAGTAATAGGCACCAGCATAAAGCTTCTTATATGGACGTAATGCAGCATTGCCAATATTGGTACTCACGTGCCGCGGTGATGTGATCCAACCGAAGGGAGTCTCGATAATCGTTTGAGTAACACTACGATTACAACTGGCACGTACAGATCGAGTCGGATGTAGCGAGCTTGCGCGAGAAGAATGCGAATGTGGATCTCCTTTGTGTTAATCCGATGGCATAAGGAAGTCGATGACGCACCTCGGCTTCTAGCCTGACAATGCACACAGTAGTCAGAAACCTGCTACTGAGGTCAGTGCATATCTGATTACTGATGACTGTGCTCAAATTCTTACCAACCCTGCCACCTTCATAACTATATGTCGGAAAGGGAGGAAGTATCATAGGAATTCTGTGTTACGCACTCTTAAGACTACTGACATCAGGGTCATGTCGAGGTTGGATTAGACGAAGATTAGGAAGGAGTACTTGGTATTTACTGATGACGGTGTATCACTGGCATTTCCAGTACTTACTAGGACGCCCGTATCATAAGGCGGCCGGGTGGGATAGGATCCGATTAGTTTATGTTTGTATCGTAGCTAGGAGTTCATATGATGAGATAGGGCAGACAATGAAATAATCGCGTTTTGACGTCGTGCTGGTCAACTTATCGTTCTTATAAGAACTTCAGTCTCAGATCCACTGAAGTGATACTGTGTTTTCGGGTTCATCGATCGACGCACCATAATAGCAGGGTAGCCTGAATCGAACGAGTACTAGCTGCAGGAAACTAGCCAGTTGTCCATCTGGAAAAATAAAAATTAATGGGACAGCTCAGTATGATTTCTCGCGTTACCGGTTTTGAAATTTGGTGTGTTGTTCGGAACGCTTCCGAGCGGAACAAGGAACTATCAATTGCTTACATACCTCACCACGTGGTCTTGACGTGGTCGGTGTTGTTTTGCTACCACTTACACCTCCCTAACGTTCTCCATACCCGATAAACCCTGAAGCGTTCTTTCTCGCCATGAGAGGCAATGGAAGCTACCTCCTGGGGAGCGCGCTACTTGTTTTCCTGCCCTCGGTTTCTAACGCCTTCTATCTTCCTGGTGCAGCACCCCACAACTATAAGCAGAGCGATCCCGTCAATGTTTATGTCAATGCGCTCACTCCCATGCTCACTGGAACTGACAACTCAAAGCTGGTATTGCGTTCGCTATCATATTTGAATTTGACTGTGCTTAATAGTCTTTAGAAATCACTCATCAACTGTAAGGAACTCGCCTATGGATTGCAATTGGCAACACACACTGACACATCATAGACGACTACTACAATCCTCGTTTTCACTTTTGTGCACCAGCGGGGGGTGCTCAGGGTCAGCCCGAGTCCTTGGGATCGATACTATTCGGCGACCGAATATTCACATCTCCATATGATGTATGTTGCCGTTGGCCAGATTAGCATGTATGCAGATTCAAACTGCTTTATCAGATCAAAATGCTGGAGGCTAATGGTACTTGTCAAACGCTGTGTGCCACCGATATACCTGGAGAAGACGCAAAATTCATCAATGAGCGAATCCGTGAGGATTATGCTCTCAACTGGCTGGTGGATGGTCTGCCAGCTGCTGAAATGAAGAGAGACGCGAAGACTGGGGACATCTTCTTCGATATGGGGTTTAACCTTGGAAATGATGACGATGAGGTGCCCTACCTAAACAACCACTATGAGATTGTTCTGAGGTATAGTCGCCTGCCTATCAGCACACTCAGGTTCATCAAATGTATTGCCTCACAGATATCACGAGCCATCACCTGGAGTTTACCGCGTTGTCGGAGTCCTGGTGTGGCCACTTAGGTTCGTGAGGAGTTTTTGTATCATTTACTTTTGCTTACATCCTTGTTGCAGCCGCGGCGGGTCACAAGAAGACACAAGTACGCCGAACTGTGATGTCGATGTTCAACCATTACGTCTATCTGAAAATGAATCAAATCATGTACGGTATACCTATCGAGTAACTTGGAACGTAAGTCTTTTGCGTAGGGACACGTCTCAGCGAGTATATGGCTAACTTCCTGCGTTCAGGAATCCTGACACACCATGGGTACGTTTAGCCTGCAAGACATGCGTCGAACTTTTTTGATTATTCATAGGCCACTCGATGGGACAACTATCTCCACATCTTTGATCCCCGGATACATTGGTTCAGTCTCATCAACTCAATTATCATCGTCGTCTTCCTTTGTGTTATGGTAGCCATGATTCTGTGGCGCACCGTCTCTAAAGATGTGATTTTTATCGTATTGGCATATACTTCAAGCTGATGCCCATACAGATTTCGCGATACAATGCAATTGATCTTAGTGTGAGTGGTTGACATCCTATACATATATGTTGTTCTGACACAGTAAAAAATGCAGGAAGATGTTCAAGAAGACTGGGGCTGGAAACTCGTACACGGAGAAGTTTTCCGCGCGCCCAGATACCCAATGGTGCTTTCCGTTATGGTAGGAAATGGTGCTCAGTTGTGCGCCATGTGTTTGGTTACCCTTGGTAGTTCCTTGAATCCTAGTGCCTCCATTTACTGTCTAATATTAACTTCCCAATAGTCTTTGCGTTGCTGGGCTTCCTTTCGCCTTCTAACCGTGGCTCTCTTGCTACTGTCATGATGGTGTGCTGGACCCTTTTTGGAGGGTAAGTAACCTCTTCAAACTGAAGGGCTCAGCTTAAACAGATATATCAGGATCGGAGGTTATTATTCGAGTAGAATATATGCATCGCTTGGTGGCGTTGATCGCAGAAAGAATGCGTTCCTTACGGCCACCATTCTCCCCACGTGAGCCCCTAGTTCACAGCGTTACTTTGATTCCTCATTGGCTGTTCCGATTCTCTAGACTGGTATTCGTGGTGATCTTCTTGTTGAACTTCTTCCTTCTCGTTGCCGGTTCCTCGGGAGCCGTTCCTTTCTGTAAGTTCAAGTAATTGTGTCGGCGAGCTCGGAGCTCACCTGGTTTTTATCTATACTAGCCACTATGCTCTTGATCGTTGTCCTCTGGTTTGGAATTTCTGCTCCGCTATCTGCGATTGGATCATACATTGGGTCAAGGCAAGGAGTACGTGTATTGCATGTTTGACGTAATTGAAATTCATTTGATTTCAGGGCATATCACACCCCGTCAGAGTCAATCAAATACCCCGTCAGATCCCGCCGTCTCCTCGACACCTTCGACCATGGGTAAGTCGTTCCCTGCAACGTACACATAAATTCCAACCCTATTGCAGGCCTCCACGCTACTCGCAGGTATCCTGCCGTTTGGTAAGATACAGCTCATAATTGATTCTCGTTGCTCAATAGTATCGTCATATCGTAGGGGCTGCATTCGTGGAACTATATTTCGTCATGTCTAGCCTCTTCGCATCCCGCGCCTACTATGCATTTGGTTTCCTCGCGCTAACAGCAGGAGTTGTTACACTCACTACTGGCACCGTGACCATCTTGTTTACATACTTCAACCTCTGCGCTGAAGAGTACAGGTATGTGGAAGTATGTTCATTCGTAACCTCTTGTCTTCATTCTCGACGCAGGTGGCACTGGCGTGCCTTCTTAACTGGTGGTGGGAGTGCATTTTGGATCTTGGCATATGGACTCTTCTATTGGTTATCTCGACTTTCGCTGGACTCGCTTTCAAGCGTCACATTGTACCTCGGGTATTTGTTCTTGATATGCCTTTTCGATTTTCTTGTCACTGGTAAGGACTTATTTATAATCCGTGACAGTACAACTCAATAATCTTATCAAGGGACCATTGGATTCCTCGCATCTTACTGGGCTGTGCGGCGCTTATATAGTGCAATTCGCGTGGACTGATGCAGCAAAGGTTCAGTTGCATATAATTAGACGTACTTGATGCCACGATGGACAATACAAGTTTGGTTCACCGACATCCCCCAAATGCACAATACCCAAATTAGCGCCGATTGACTTGAAAAGGGCACACTGCCATAATCAATCAAACGAGGTAAGACCCTTTTCAACGCGTCCCATTTTTGATGCGAAATCTCTCTGCTTTTATCTCTCAGTTCATCGTCATCCCATTCACAGAGCATGTGTTATAACACGTGTGTTGGCTATTATATTACTTAGACTACGAGTGCCGCCCGACTTCGACGTGCCATATGGCACTACCGTTGCGAATATGACGGTGACGGATGTGACGGTGCACGAATATACTGAGGAGTGACGGTATTGAAAAGCATGGTTCGCTTTCCAAGGTATAATGCATAGGAGACTCAGCGCAGTGCCAGGATCAAATGCTTGTCCTTTCCAGCACGTAAAATTGCCACCTGTCCATTTATCAGGTGACTCCTCTCAAGCTTGAAGTGTACGTCTGGCTGAGGTACACTGTTCAGATACAAACCGTTCCCGAGGGCAAGTTGTCGTGCTGCCGCTGAAAAAGTGTTGATCAACAACTGGTTCAGTGGAACCAAAGAAAGGTAGACAAACACTTTGAGGTGGTAAGTCCGAAGTTGGCAGCAACGTTTGGGAGCGTTATGCCAAGCAACTGGTCCTCTGTGCAGAGAACTAACCGTGGGTCATTGGCGAGAGATTTTACGATATCTTTCGCGTGTAAAGTTGAGTAGTCTGTTCCAAAAAGGACGTTTGTCGCTACTCGTGCAGCCTCTAAGCCTTCCTCTGCCAGACATGTCAGAGTGCGCAGGCGGAGAAGAGCTGACTCTCACTTCGGTGTATCATCTGTGTTACTTCTTCGGCAAGAAGCTTCTGTGCCAATCGGCGTTCAGGCTGAACTTCATGTTCTCGCACGACAGCGTTTATTTCTTCGACAGGAAGCAGAGTAAACATCTTGAGATACTTCTCAACATCAGCGTCCGTTGTACGAAGGAAGAACTGTCGACAGTACTTAGATCACGGGCCAGTAATAAATGGCCAGCATACCTGATAGAAGTCTAGGTAGCTTGTGAGTTTTTCATCAAGCCATACAGCGTTTCCCGCACTCTTCCCAAACTTCTCTCCTTGTGAGGTCGTTAGCAATGGCGTGGTCAATGCGAAGCCTTTCTCGTTGTGTCCGGCAGAATCTCCCTCGGCTTTGTTTATGAGGTCGATGCCGGAAATGATGTTCCCCCATTGGTCTGATCCACCTACTTGAATAGTGCACCCTTTTGTGCGAAAAAGTTCATAGAAGTCATAACCTTGGAGAAGCTGGTAGGTGAATTCGGTGAACGTGATGCCATTGTTTGCACTCATTCGCATTTTTACGCTACATCACATGTCATCGATAAAGGAAACGCAGGGAGTTAAAACGACAAACCTATCCCTTGCCAGCATATGATTCACGCGAAAATGAATGCCGGTACTCCGCAAGAAATCAAGAAGATTCAATTCCTTTAGCCAGTCTAAGTTATTGACGACCTGTAGTTGGGCAGAGGTTGTCAGGGAGGGAACCTTATCGAGGGCATACTCTGTCGCGCGAGAGAAAAACTGCTGAATGGATTCCGTGAGTTTGGTGGTGTTGGATTGAATTTGAGCTTTTTCCGAAAGTGAGCGTTCCATCATACGGCCAGAGGGATCTCCAACAAGCCCTGTTGCTCCACCTATCTGAGCACATTCAGTCCATTTCCAACATAGAAACGGGCAGGCTTACGAGTGCTAGCGTGTTATGCCCTCTGATGCGGAAATGGAAGAGACAGAGAAGTGGGATGAGGTGACCCGCATGCAATGACTTTGCTGTTGGGTCAATCCCAGCATAGATGGTCCGTTTTTTGTGCAAATGCTTAGCGAAATCATCTGGGCTGGAACATATCATTAAATCCTCCAATTTTACCAACATGGTAGTTCTCACCGCGTCACATCCGCAATGAGTTGGCGGGCACTCAATTCTGACAAAAGCTCTCGTCCCGAATGTAGATTTCTGGTCCAGGGGGTAGCCCCCCACCTGAGGGCTATTCGGTGAGCTGTTCTAGGCCATCTAGTACGAACAGGTTGAAGCATTCTTTGTGTGAGGGACCGCCCACAGCGGCTTGAAAGTTCGAAGTAGTAAAGCTTGAAAACTAGGTCACGTGCAGACTGCCGTGTTCCGCTGATCTTAGCGCAATCTTAGCGTGTCGTATCTTATATTGGTCGCCTACGGGAGACTAAGTAATAACGGTTCTCTCTCGTGGAAAGCCGACCCCTCTGCAGGGCTCCTTCCGGTTCTTTAAGCATGCAATTCGAAGTTATTGCAAAATGCCACACAACTCGAGCGCGAGTTTGCAGAATGAAGCTTGCCCGTTAGTCTCGCTCTTATCAGATAGAACTGGTTTAATGCTGTTCACAGACGGCATCACAATGCTTCCTACATTTATGCCTGTGGCAACGCAAGGAGCGATTAAAGGCTTGACCCCACAACAGGTTGAATCGCTCGGAATCACGCTTATGTTGAACAACACATACCATTTAAATTTGCGACCTGGGATCAAAGTCCTTGATGAAGCGGGAGGAGCTCATAAATTCCAAGGTTGGAACCGCAATCTTCTCACAGTAAGTGCAACTTCAGAAGTTTGTCAGGCTCAAACTCAGCTTTTTGAAGGACAGCGGAGGCTTTCAGTTGGTCTCTCTGAGCAAGTTCACCAATATTACTGAGGATGGTGCCTTGTTTACTAGTCCATTCAATGGAGAGCCAACAATGCTTACGGTTGGTCTCGAATTTACCACTGCTTCTTCTGTTGATGAGCGGTGCAGCCTGAAGAAAGCATTTCTATACAGCATTCAATCGGAGCGGATATTATCATGCAACTGGATGACGTAGGTAAGGCTGCTCATAAATATTTTCCCCCAGAGTTTAATGCTAGCTCAGTCAGTAGTCTGACTGTTGGACCTCGAGTTGACGAGGCCATGCACCGATCCGTTCGATGGCTAGATCGTTGCATCGAACAGCATGAAAAGTCCGGCCGAAAAGACAAACAGAACCTTTTCGCTATTGTTCAGGGAGGGTTGGAGCCAGCATTGCGTGATCTATGTCTTGATGCCATGATTGAGCGGAAGGACCGAGTTGCTGGGTATGCTATAGGCGGTCTTAGTGGAGGGGAAGAAAAGGGTGTGTTCTTTGACTGGTCTGGTGTGTTTGGTGGCCTGATTTATCACTCGAGACGTGTTTTGGAAGATGTAAGTTTGACCTCGGGCCGTCTTTGTGCACCTGATCTTGCATAGTATCAAGCAGTGTGCAGACCGGCTACCTTCAGATCGTGAGTACATAGATTTCTCCTGCGGAGCCACCTGCAAGCTTTCGCGCACTTAGGGCCTCGATATTCCATGGGCGTAGGTTTTGCAGAAGGTAATTAAATCGCGTGCTCCTCACAGTCAAACCTGATCTCCGGCTCCAGATCTGCTGGTCTGCGTTGCATTGGGTGTTGACATGGTAAGCTTGAGAATGGCACACCTTGACGCCAAGTTCGCTGACAGTTTTTCAGGCGGATTGCGTATTCCCTACTCGAACTGCAAGATTTGGTGTAGCCTTGACTTTCAAGGGGCCCCTGAACCTTAGTACGCGTATTTTGGCGAAGGTTAGTGCGGTACAGACTCATTGATCGATAATATAGAGCTCGGAAAGCACACGAAGAGCATGGAACCTATAGATAAGAACTGCCCTTGTCCAACATGTACAAGTGGCATGTCCCGAGCTATGTTGCACCACATCGTCACAATAGAGACAGCTGGAGCTCACGGTAATTCGGATACCGTTTCTTGCGGTTTTACCGCTGATCTATTGTCATCAAACAGCTGTCACGATTCACAACCTTGTTTTCCAGGCCCGGGTCATGGGCAGTGCAAGAGATGCTATCCTCGAAGGCCGATTCCCTGAGTACTTAAGGTCGTTCTTCTACAATTACTTCGGTGATACAGGGTACCCCGAATGGTGTGTAAACGCTCTGCGCAGCGTTGGGGTGGACCTGATGCAGGGTGTTGACGTGCCGTTAATTCAAGGATCGGGGGTGAAATGGGAGTACTCGGACGCGGCTTGAGTCAGAGATGTCATACATATGCGCAGCGTAAGGGAATAACAAATAGTGCAAAATCAATTCTTTCCTTTGCGACTCGGCCTAGCATTCCTAGCCTTCTTCCGTTCTGCAACCATCCTGTTTTTGCGTATCTGGTCGACCGTCTTGATTTCGTTCTTGACTCTGCCCACTGATTTCCCTCCGAAACGCCCACCACTTCTAATCTTTTTAGCTCTACCAGGGCTTTTTGGTTTCGCCTCGCCTGCTTCCGCTGCGAAGCTCTCCTCTTTCTTCTTGAGCTGCCTCGACTTGCGCTCGTAATCATTGCTGAGCCTGTCCAACGGCTTAGCCTCAGTGACCTTGTTGTGCTTCCATCTCCTCCCTCCAGGCCCGACTGCACCAACACCTCTTCTTTCCACCTCCCTTTCTCCAATCTTTGGCAGTGATACCCTTGCTTTCTTCTTCCACTCATCAAATCGGCCACTCTTATACGTAGCAGGTAAGCGAGTGCCATTCTCCGTTCGCAGAAGTTTCATGTTGTCGGCGCCAATTCCGCCCCCTTTGACAAACTTCTTCTTTTTCTTGTCCCACGAGAGTTTGTTCTGGTGCCGTTGGCGCGCGCCAATGGTGTCCTCATCTCCTGCAAGGTCAAGGATGGCACCCTGAGCTTGAGCAGCAAAGGAAGAAGCCCCATCTGTGAGCGAGTAACTAGTAAAATATCACCTCAGTGCGCACGATCAGCAGTAGATGGAATATATAAACCCTTTTTCGGTCATGGCGTCCTTTTGATAGTGGGACATATAATAATCTTCATCGCGGAAGTTACTGCTCTTCTTGTTGGAGACGTTGAACACAGCCTGCTGAAAATCAGCATTGACACTTCCAGCTATATGGAGACGAACCGCAATGTCTTCCTCGTCCGCCATTTCCACGTCACCGTCCCCCGCTTCGCCAAGGCCGTCATGACCATCATGGTCTATGTCGACGATAGCAGAAGAGCTGCTGGGCCCCGAATTCCCCGCTCGCTCCACAGCCTTTGCAAGCGCCTTCCTCCGTTCCTTCATGAGTGCTGCATTAGCAGTCCCCGCCTTTCCACGAGTACCAATCTCGAACACCGTCTCAGCAGGCTTGAATGAGCTAACCGCACGGACAATCGCCGCACGCTTCTCCTCCATTTCTCTCGTGTCCTCTTTTCCGTCATCACCGTCCCGCATCAGTGTGAGGACGGGATGTACGACGCCTTCCTGACCGCTACGTCCAAGCTCCTTTGCACGTCGATAACTCGCTGCGCTGGCCTTTCCACGACTGCGCTCATACATGGCATGCCCACGTCCCATGACTGCACGTAGGCTAGACAGCGTATTCTGTGACGCGTCCAGTGTGCGAACATACTCGACCTCTGAATCCATTAGGTCTCGTGGGAAAGGAGCGAAGATCAATGATTGAGTGTAAGGCTCTTCCGATGTCGTAGCCGATACGGGGAAGGACGATGGCAAGGTGATTAACGGTCGACCGAGGAAGAGTTGCAAGTCACAGAGATACGGCAACTCGCCATGACCAACGAAGCTCCATGCCCAACCTTTTCTCCCAGCTCTGGCCGTTCGACCTACGCGATGAACAAATATCCTTGCACCGACAGGAAAATCGTAATTCACTACGTGTTCGAGAACCGGTATATCAAGACCACGCGCTGCAACGTCCGTAACAACCAATACATTGGTCTTCTGCGACAAGAACTGGTTCATTTGGTATGTCCGTACAGATTGGTTCAAAGAGCCATAAAGAGCAGAGACAGCGTAGCCAGCTGTGGTGAGAAGGGCAGAGAGGTATTCGACGTGGTGTTTTGTAGCCGCGAATACGAGTGTCTGGTGAGGCGCACTATGGGTTGAGTGCTTGGCTTTGGACTTCCCCTTCTTGAATTTGACCGGAGATTCGGAGTCATCGTCCTTGGACGACTCGGTGCTTCCATAGGGAACTTTGATTACATCCCGGAGGAGTGCCAATAGACATGCATCCTTCTCCGCTTGTTTGACAGAAAAAAACGACATTCGTAGATCAGAACTGATTTTTGACTCTGCGTCCAGTCGCACGAGTTTGGGGTCGCAAAGACCTGCTTTGGCGAACTCAACGAGCGATTTCGGGAGGGTCGCGGAAAAAAGAAGGGTCTGACGGGACGTTGGAAGGCGCGCAAGAATTTCTGTAAGTGCGGTAGCAAAACCAAGCTCAAAAAGACGGTCTGCCTCGTCAAAAACAACATATTGCACGGACGACAAGGAAAGTGACATCTCAACGATCAGGTGAAGGAGACGGCCGGGAGTTGCGATAATACTAAACCAAAAGGATATCAGAAAACACGGTAGTGAATGAATGAAATGCACATACATATCTGGATTATTACTGATCATTTCAAACTGTTCATCCAAACCCTCTCCGCCGACGATAAGGCTCCAGCGCAAGCCTTCGCCTTTGTTATTTGAAGAATCTTCACGATCGTCTCCTGCATGCTGCGCAGCATCGTTTGCCCAACCACGCACAAGTGCCTTCCCGACTTTGACAACTTGAACAGCAAGCTCTCGTGCTGGTACGAGGATAATTGCTCGAGCTCCAAAGGTATGCGCGTGTCTGCCTCCTAGACGCTGCACTAAAGGTACCATGTACGCAAGAGTCTTTCCCGAGCCAGTCCGAGCCATTCCGACTAGATCACGTGGTGGAGATGCAAGAAGGGCAGGAATAGATGCACGTTGTATAGGTGTGGGTGTGCGGTACCCTTGGAGGGTCAATGAACGCAGAAGGGATGGATGCAGGCCTAAAGAGCCATCGGCGCACGATCTTCATTGAAAGAAAGCACATACCCATGCTTTGGAAGCTTCCTCCTCCGATATCACCCTTGCTTTTCCCTTTGCTCTTAATCTTCTTCAGCATCTCAGTGCCGCCTTTCATGTTTCGCTTTGCAATAGAATCCTGGATTAACTCTTCGATATCATCGTCATCATCTGGGTGATTTTCGATTGGACCGTCTCTTCTCGGTCTCTTGCCTGTGAGAGCACCAGAAATGTCGACATCGAACTCTTCGTCTGAAACGGTTTGAACTTGTGAAAAGTCTGACTTTGATTCCTCGTCCTCCTGAACCACCCTGTTCCTTTTCCGTGATGCCATGATTAGTATAGTGGTCGTCCTATTTCTTGGAGAATTTTTTGATGTTTGTAACGAGTCGAGTCCTGTTGAGTCTCGAGTCCTGAGTCCTCGACTGCCGCAGCCTGCAGCCTCAGGTATGCGCTAAAAATGAACACTGCCACCGATCAGGTGTGCCTCGTTCCCAAATACACATCATCAGGAAAAATCAGGAAAGATCGCTTATGCCATTTCGTACAACTCGAGGCTCGAGCTTCTGATAGCCCACATGATCAGGGTTCTATCGGACTATCACTCCTTCTTCGTGATAAGGTGATGGGTACCACTTGTAACATGTTGTTATAACGGACTCCATTCGATGCAGTCACAGCACAGAACCAATTTGTACTGCCATCTTCAGGGGTCGAGACCGTCAACACGCCTTTTGCACTCGGTTCTGCGTCATTCAGCACGGGCTCCGACATAGAGGCTGTTTTTATCACTCATTTCACGATTGTTATCGCGGAGATAGGTTCCCTTGTTACTGGTCCGGCTCCCCGGGACCATGGAAGCTCTATATCGTTATGGCTAGGCGAATTAGCGCTTGGGAAATGCTATGCCAGCCTCAAGATCTAGAGGCTAGAGCTGTGGAGTTCAAGTTCTGGTATGTACTGCGAGTCTGTACTTAGTTGCTTGACCAGGTGTCAAAAGGCCGCCCTGTGCTTTCATATAGCACTAGCATTAACGACCAAGTCGGACGCAGTCACGAAAGTAAGCTCCATTGACTGATCCTGGTGCGGGAAAAAAGGGTACCATGATCCGATGGTCACATCGGGCTTATTTGAACCTGTCTCAAATGTGGCGTTATTCATTGCGTACTAGTCTTGGACTTTGGTCCGAGATGCCTCTCCATTGCACAATGATGACACACATATGCATACTAGTATGATTTATTATGCTGATGAGCAAATGGGAATCCTGCAACAGTCAGATCCAGCTGATCAGTGACTGGACCTCGTATGATGCAGGACCTCCAGCAACTTGACTTGCAAATCCTCGCCACTACGGCCACCAGAATTTTCTAGTAGCTCCTCAGTTTAAATTCTCAGCTGCAGTAAGTCACTTCCAAGTACTTAGTCACTGACTGCCATGTGCCTCTAGCGAGATTAACTTGTGCTGACACCTACTACATGAGGCAGGGTGCAGCCCAAAATCAGCGCATCCAGGATCGGCATATTCGGGGCCCTCGTCCGTCCTATGCTCAGCCTTGGCTGCGAAGCTATGCTTGCCACCGGTGACTAAGGAGTGGAGATACGGTGGACAAAACAACCTTTCCGGTAAGTATCTGCGACATATACCGAGTGACGTCAACACAAGCTAATGTATCGTGGCGGTCGGCTGTGCGGCAGGCAGTATATAACTAAAACCCACCTACCTGAATAACTCAGCCCAACACCCACCCTTTGTGTCGTCTTCAGTCTAACGGTTCTTCACGACTCATAATGTTCATGAACACTTCACCCCGTGCTCTTCTCACTTCGTTCTTCATGCTCCTTGCGCTTCTCTCCTGCGCATTATCTGCTCCTGTTTCTCCCGTGATGCGTGATGTCTGGGTACCCAAAATCATCTCCCCTACATCAGACTCTATATGGACCGTCGGAGGGACGTTCCTCGTCACCTGGGATACATCCTCAGAGCCCTCCCAGGTAACCAACCCTACTGGCCAGATCTATCTTCGCCAGGGCGATGCAACTCAATCCAATCCCATCAAGTCTGGGTTTGCCCTTTCTGATGGTCAAGTTAGTGTCACGGTCCCTGAGGACACCACTCCTGGAATGTGGATGGTCGTGTGTAAGTGTCTGACGCTATCGTAATTCAGTTCAGAAAGCTAACATTTGACTCAGTATTTGGCGACTCTGGAAACTGGAGTGATGAGTTCCCCATCGACGTAGCCACATCCTAAGCTGCACGCACTGCCCTGCAGCGTTGTCTGTTAACCTTGCAACATGCCAGACGAGAATGAAAGATCGGAAGGGAAGAATTGTACGTTTTCTTGATGGACTGCTATGGACTTGGACCATGATGGACAATTGGCATCTCATTGGACTTCAAATTGATTTTACTGGACTTGGAATTCACAATACCTTTGTTCTTTTCGTTCTTCGCTTTTTACGTGGTTCTGCTTCATCCACTTTGTATACGTTGACTGTAGTTGGTTACTTCCCTGTATCCTTACCATCTCATTCAAGTTTCTACGAGTCATTTTAGCCACTGTTACAACACCCCTACTCGACTACTAGTGTTTTCCCCCTTAATGCACGATGGCTCTGGGTTTCGGAGTATCATACTTTCGTGTCTTTTCAACATGGATATGATTTTTCCAGACTTTGTCATCAAGAGCTGTGGTAATGTCGAATGAAAGTCGCTTCACGGCTCGCGCATGCAGCGTTGAGGCAGGCCGGATCTCAAAGTGGCTGTTCAAAACTTCAAATGCAAAATCATACCATAGTAGTAAGTATTCCTGAAATTGCAATATTCGAGGAATCAGAATGGTAATATACCCATTGTATAATAAGACATGTACATACTATACGTACCTTACGTACTTGGTAACTCGATCGTCGGTGAACGTCAATCGTGGGGTTGTCGATCTTTTCAATTCGCGAGTTTGCGGACTGTCGACTGAACTCTTGTCAAGTGCAAGATGTCTTGGTCACTGTCCTCACCATCGTCTTCCTTTCCGGACCTCAGCAATTCACAACTGCTGTCCGAGTCTCTACCGTCACCTGAACCATTCGACTCGGATTCTCATACGGGCCCTGGGGGCGCTGACCTTTCCATATCAGAGCTCTCACTATCAGACAAAGACACGGAGAATTTTCGCTTTCACGATAGGCCACGTTTCAGTCTACTGGCACCGACTGCTACAACATCACACACATTCTCGCCTGATCAAAGCAAGATATCAGAGGATGACGAATATGAAGAAGGAAACGACGGGGGCTCTGAAAACGATGTTGATTTGACTATGATCGGAAGGGTTGCTGCTGCAAAGGCACGGGAAGACAAGCTTCAGAGCGATCTCTACGTTCTCAAGAAGCTGAACGCGTCTTTTGCGTTATTTAATGACGCATTGCGGTCTACTCAGACTGCTACTGAGGTGTGTGTTACCGCTAATCATGGAACAAGCTAATAATCATAATCTCTCCTTGTATCTGTTCATCCACTTGTGCAGCAAGTGGCAACTCAACTCGCACAGACGGATGCGCTTCTAGATAAATATGTCAATATGCTGGGAAAGTCAGAAGCTGTGGCGAAGCTGATCTTTGATGAACAATGGGAGGGTGCAGAGGCTGTAAGCTACTTCCTTTGGCTTGTTTCTGAGTGTCTCGCCCTATGCCAATGCGCCATAGTTAGGCTTGCGACGCGTTTTTCTAACAATTCTCTATCTGTCATTTTGGACCACACGTGGCTGATAACGCTCAACCCAAGGATGAGGAGTTACTTCAAAAGGAGCGACAGATGGCCCTTGAACAGGCCCGACTAGAAAAGGAACGCCTTGAGCGGGAGGAGGCAGAACGGAGGGAGGTAGAAGAGCGTGCGCGCCTGGCTACGGAGGAAGCTGCTCGCCGCGAAGCGGAAGAATGTGCACAACGGGAAGCTGCAGCTACAAAGGCGCCCCGTGGTCGCGGCACCGGTGTGTCAAGCGGTGTCCGGGGTGTTCGCGGGACAAGAGCGACAGCAACATCGGCGGCTGCCAGAAGCACCAAAGGCATTCCTCGTGCAGGTATGGGAACATGACAAGCCATGACCACATTCTAATTTTTGCACATATGACGCCAGCCTCGATGAGTGCTTCATCGGCAATCCCTCGCAGTCGATCAACTAGCGCTACGGGAAACGTTGGAAGCTTAGGCGGTGGAATGAGACCCGGATCATCTGCAAGCCGAGGAACAGGCTTGCCGCGAGGCGTACCTAGGAGAGGTTGAGCCCTATTCCTGTGTGTTGGCGCGTGGGCAATGTCTCCAAGAAAACTCACGGCTATTGCACAACAGGGTTAACAACCAGGCAGAGGAAGAACTCGCCATCGTGATGCTCGCCCGGCTGCCTGGTGTCCCAAGGCATTTGAGAGTGGGGGTTGTCTGGAGCCGCAGTCGCCTTACCACCCGGTGGTCGTGTATCCTAGGGCAAAGTGACCATTACCTTCACGTGAAGAATCCGTGACGGTAGCTCTAGTATTTGGAAATTACCCCAATACCTATCAAACTCCTATCATGGATGGATATTGTCAGTGTAGGAAGTTTCGTGTAGCCGAACAGGGAGAGTCACTGCGCTTGAATTTTATTCCTTCCTAAGGATTAATTCTGTCTCAGAGAAGAGAAATTCACCCTAGGACTACTATGTGTATCGCGTAACGCTAGACAACAAACGCGTCCTGTGGCGTGGGAAATCCTACTGAGCTTCGTTGATTTCAATTGTTCACCATGATCCATTATGCTGCGAAAAGTTAACCTTGCACCCCTCTACCTTCTTGACCGAATTCACGAAAAACTTGTGTGCTTTCAACCAAGAATGCTGGGTGCCAATAAAGATACAAGAAGCCTACTACTATGTCAGTCAAGCCATCAGGGAATCAAGGTCCTTCGTGCCATGCCCTCTCGAACAGAACAAAAGCAAATATAAACAACAATCTGCATCAAAATCCATCAACTTTTCGTGGACAATGTTATCTCATGCTCGACTGATCATCAAGACGCTGCGATTACTGTCCCTCACCAGTGAGCCCTGCAGTAGAGGGGACTGGTCGCCCGAATATCGACAGCCTAGATAAAGAAGTGATGAGCGATGGGTACCAATGGTTGTAACAGTGTGCAAACTGGTGATAAAGAATCATCCAGCGATGGACGCGGGTGCACCGTCGCAGTGCAGCGGAAAGGAGATGCCAGAGCGGCCACTTACTCGGACAGCCGCGATGGAACCCTCGTCCCTGGTGCAAATGGAGAACGAACATCCGAGTCGACAGGATAACCCCTGTGCGGAAGTTGAGGGGTGCAGGAAATTCCTAAGAAAGAATGGAATTCCTGCCCACTTGAGGCATCAGAGACCCGCGCTACGGGACCCCGTGTGTTTGCTGTCTCGCGAGCCGAGCTCACACTTGGTAAAATGGGAGAAACTCCAGCATCAACGTAGCGCGATTGAACCCCGTCATTCTTTACTGCGGCACAAGCAGACGCACTTTCACAGTGCCCGTGGCGGCAAGCCGTTCCCTGGTGGACAGTGTACGACAACAAGGCCACACCGTTCAGGCCTATCAGCCGAGTAGACTTCTTGAATATGGTATGAATACTCTGAGAACGAGTGTCGATTATTGGAGGGAACACTGACCGGATGAGGGACAGTGCTTCAGCTGCGGCATCTGCGAGTGCTCTACTCTTCCCTTTGTTGGCAACTCGGCGTCGTGGAAGAGAGGAAGCGGACTGTCCGTCGTCTTCTGGACAACTGACGGCTGGCAGACAATCTCGTGTTGTAGAATCACGAGGGTTCGTTGGTTCTGCATCCATCTGACTGTTCTTTCTGCGAGGTGAAATAGCCCCTGGACGAGGTTTTATATTTGCCGGATCAAATACCCTCGAAGGTGGAAGCATGATGCGAGGATCCAAGCCCTGACCTTTGTGAATCTCTTCGAGAGTGGGATATCGCGCTCCCATCTCGAACGATGCAGGAACAGTCCTTTGTCGACGTAGAGCTCGAGGGGATGATGTTTCCTCCGCAGACATCATGGATGACGTAGGGGAAGCTTCAACCCTTCTGATATGAGCAGGGCGTGATGTCGACAGAAACGGTGACACTTCATTTACCCAAGAAGATGTGTAGGATGTATCCTCCACAGCGACTCGTGGTGACAATCCTCTGGGTGGTTGAAGGAGAGAATTGCCTTCCAGGTCCACGTACTGAGTCACCCCTGTTGATGGTGACGGTGGCAACGTTTGGCTTGGAGAGTGCAGTAAGGACATATCATCCCACAGTGCCTGGCGCGACTGCACGGCGCGAGCACCGGTAACGCTGTCCACTCGGCTCGGAGCCACTGGCTGGAAGATATGACCATCCATCTCGTACTTGACTCTCGTGGCTGAAGCTGACACGGCGCCTGCATTTTCTAGGACAACCTCCACTTCACCCCTTTGCAAGGCTCCGTGGTACGCTCTAAGAGCTTCCTCGTATGTGTCGAAGCTTTCATAAACAGCCTGGCGTGGACAATGTTTGATTTTCCCGCGACATTCTATCCTGAAGAGTGTATGAGCATCACGAAACCCTTTCGAGAGGACGAAAACGACACGTCAACAAGGAATTGGCCAACATTGCGCTAACGCTTGGCCAACGCGTTTAATTTGCGAGAATAGGGATTTGAACCTACCATGTCGTATATATACCTGGCTCCGAGCCCACAACCACAACGTACCACCTAGGTTTCTTCATTATATCGACGAGAACTAAACACTGATTACTGAGTACTGAGTATTGAGGCCTCAAGAGGGTTAAAAAAACGAACACGGCGACTAGAAAGGAGTAAGTTCGATTCTCGCGTCAACCAATATTAATGATCGCGACACGGTGGCAATAGTAATGGGTATATTACTACGTAATTCTTTTCAAAAATAAAAATAAAAACTTATTTAATCCACTGCATGCCGAGTACAAATTTGAAACTGTTGTTTTTCATGCAAGCCTGCGAGGGAAGTGATTTAATCACACAAGAAAGACGACACCGCGATCAGTGTAGAGACTCGGATAGAGAGATTAATATTAGAAGAGCATACGCAGAGGTGGGGACGACATGTAAGTACTAAAGTACTACTAACTAGATAAGGAAATGAGAGTTCCGATATCACAAAATCCAGATCAATACGATCGTTCTGCTTGCTTTTAACACACCATCTCGTGAAGATGGAATTTGTGCCAGGACCCGCTGTTCATCGCGTCCTCTGCGCTGATTGTGGCAAGTCACTTCGATCTTGAAATATTTGCTCTGCTGACCTCCATGATCAGGAACACCGATTGTCCCAAATTCTGCCAATTTATGCGTAGCATGTCTTCGGAATACGTGAGTGTCATCAAGTGATTCAAGAACACGATTTGAGAGTGCTCTGTGTATAGCGTAGACATTACTGAGGGAATCCCAAAGCAAAGTGTGTTGTTGCGAACTTTTGCGTAGCGTGAATGTACTGATCGCCATCAGCCTCTGTCTCATTTTGCAGAAATTGCGAGCGTTTTCTATCGCCCCCTCAATCTTGGACCCTCGCCCGACCAGAATCCCAAGAATTACTGGCGATCTGTCTGAAGAGGCTCAAGGGCTTGAATAAAGTCCGGTTAACAGAAGCTCACTTCATATGGACGGAGCCCCACTCGAAGCGATTGCGCGTCTCATTGACGATTCAGAAGGAGGTATGCACATCTGTCAGGGAATGGCATGTGTCGCTCACATCCATCAGGTTCTGACATCAACGATACTAGAACAGATCTTTGAGATCGAATATCTTGTTCAGCACGGACAATGCCCTGACTGCACTAAGCTTGCGGCAAAAAATACATGGAAAGCACTTGTACAAGTGCGACAGAAAGTCTCGCACAAACGGACATTCTTATACCTCGAGCAGCTGATTTTGAAGCATGGGACACAGAAGGATACGATCTCCGTCAAGGAGGTCAGAGATGGCCTAGATTTCTTCTATAGTCAACGAAGTCATGCGATAAAGATGGTCGAATTTTTAGCTGGGGTTGTTCCAGTACGGTAAGCTGCGTTACGACGGCTCGTATATCGGTCCTCATCACACGCAGATCGAAGGGTTCCGAACAACTACTCTCCACAGACACTCACTCGCACACCGCAAACTATAAATTTACATACTCAGTCGAGATTGTCCCGATTTGCAAGGATGACCTTGTCTGCATTCCGCCAAAACAGGCTCGACAACTGAGCAACATAAGCCCTCTTACCATCTGTACTCGCGTCGGCAACTCTTTCCAGCTCTTAGACCCGGCCACATTGCAAACTTGTGAGATCTCAGCGCAGGTTTACTGGAGGGCGCCTTTCGTCTCTCTGGCGACGGTGACAGATCTAGTTGAATTTACGATCTTGGACGTCGAGCCCTCGGGGACCGTTCGTGGCAAATGGGTCTCTGCCGACGCGCAGGTAGCACTGTCAGGCGCATTCAAATCGCATGGATCCTACGGTGACCAAGACGCGATCATGGATCACGAGAACTCCAGTCTATCGACCCAGATCTTCCACACGCGGACACATCTAGGCGCTATTCTGCAGCCTGGCGACACTGCGCTGGGGTATCATCTCAGCAACGCCAACTTCAACTCAGACGACTTCTCATCCCTCCCTTCATCTCGCATCCCGGATATCATACTCGTGAAGAAAACGTACCCGAACCGCCGAAAAAAGAATAAGACGAGGAATTGGAAGCTGCGGAGTATCGCCAAGGAGGACGGGGAGGAGGGCGAAACTGGGGGCGGACGGGGTGTTGTTGGACGTATGGGCGGACGAGACCAGAAGAAGGTGGAAGAAGATTATGAGTTGTTTTTGCAGGACCTCGAAGAAGATCCTGAGCTGCGTGGGACGGTCAATCTCTACGCGGCTAAGGATACAAAAATGCGTGATGCTACAGATGGAGCACGGAAGAAAGGAGGCCAGTATGGGATGGACGTCGATGAAGTGGACACGAGTCACAATACTGCGGCCAACGGAGATGAACAGGATGCAGAGGAGGAAGTTGACTTCCCCGCAGTGAGGCTGGAGGAATTGCTACAGGACTTTGACGAGATGACGCTTGGGGCCTCAGAAGACACGTGATTTCTAGATCAAGGTGTCGAAAACTAGCAATTTGAATACAAGCTGGGGAATTTTCTGACTGTTCTTGTATCTCTTCTTCCACATTCTTGAAGTCTTGGAATTCAAAAGACGTCATCGTCATTCACCTCGCATAAGTATACTAAGGGCTGATGAGATGGTGTCGACTGTTGAGCCTGTGATAATAGCGGTCACGAGGGGTAATGGATGTGTCTGGATTGTCTGGTGATAGAGAAATATTCACACCTGAACGTCAGGACCCGAGCAACTGGAACCCTCTAGTTGAAGCCGTACCAAAATATAGTGGTTTTAAAAACAGCTCGAAGAATAGCATACACACCAGGAACCGCTTACGATACAATGAGAACTTATGGCGGCATCTTAAGAGAGAGGGAGAAATGATCTGTCTGAATTTGAAAATAGTTGTTCATGAACGAAAGCAGAGATGCGAACTTACAAACAGGATAGGAAGACAGCGTATTCGGACAAGGCGGAAATGAAAGAGTTGATAGTCTAATTAAATTCAATTCAACCTCGTCGACGTAACTGTCGAGCCCCGTACTAAGGAGGGAATCGACAAGAATGAACGAGGCTTACCAAGGACCAAGGGCGCAATCTACAGTGACACGCGCGACAACCTGGGCCAACACGGTGTATTTCCACTTTGAAGTCAAAGTGGAAGACTTCAAAGTGGAAATACGCTCAGCTGCCAGTGCGATGAGGGAAATTCCCAGATGGAACAGTGACAGCGACAACTAAAAGGATTACTGTCCTCGAGCCTGTGTAAGTAGGTCAGACTGCCGTCCGCATAACCGTTACACCAAAAGGTAGAATACTGAAAACTTACCTTTCAGTATCAACAGCAGTATATGTATTGATTATGAGAACTCAAGTAAGCCGTTCAACTCACGAGATGTGGATGCTCCTGACCAATTCCGCGATGTTAATGACTGGAAGTCATCATCAGGCTCAAAGTGTGATGCACTTTTCGGCAGCACAACCCAGAAGAACACAAGTTCTCTTTCTTTGACTACTTGTCTCTAGATGAAGGCGTCATTTATGTAGGGCGTTGCATGAACCCTGTAATTACATGTGTTATGATTTCGATTTCAAAGGGGTGCGGAGGAACAATACCAAAACGCACCTCAAAAAATTTGTCGTCTTGCTTGTTGACGTGCTGGGGCAAAACATCATGCCTACTAATGAAACCACTGTAACTCGCAAGTACTAGTGTCGTGAGTCGTGACGGCTCCTCAGTCACGGTCACCGACGATTACTGCACCTACCATATTTGGCTCGGCGAATGCCAAACGACAAGACTTAGACGTCCAACATCGTCTCCACCACAGCCGGCAGCTCATACAACCATGATCGCCTGCTGAACACGCCCGCCTCCCGAAACATCTATTGATCGATTGCGGGAGTCCTTGAACTGACACCATGGCAATTGAGAGCAACTGCCAGGCCACCGAGTAACGACTCTCCCCGGATTCTTGAGGTCAAAGAGCGGGATGCGACGAGCTGAGGTGTTAATATGGCATTCCCAAAACTAGCGCTCTATGCGCACGCGCTACAGACCATCATGCCGACTCAGGACTGAGCACGTCTAGTAGGAATGCGACCTTCATTCTTCTGCGTACTGCTGAATGAAGGTGTCCTGCTCCATGTCTGGAAAATTAACCAGGGTAGTGCCCAGCACTTGTCATTCATGGTATGGGCAGTAGTCCGACGCTTGGGCTACGCGACATGGATTTTCTCGTAACATTCCGAGGTAAGTTGTCTTCCCCGAAACCGCGGCTTGATAGACCACATCCTTTCAGCATCTATATATAACGCTAGCGAGCGAGCGATTCTCAGATCTGGCAGCAAACCACTTTCACGACACTGAGAATATGCTAAGACCCATTGTGTAATACATATAGCTTCGAATGACTCTTCTGAAAATTGACTTGCGAGCAAGCTGTCTGGGTCGCTCTAGGCATGTGCTTGCTGTCTTGGAGTGGCTTGGTCCAAGCTGCGAGACGCCCATATTTACATAGTATCAACTAGCGGTGTTTCCATGGTGAACATTTTTTCTTCTTCCTTGACAGCCTCGATGATGATTCCCAGGTATCGATACACTCGCCGGGCGGGAAACCAATATCCCCAGCGCCCCGAATACAACGCTGTCTTGGAACAAGGTACAAGGTACAAGAGGGTACAAGGATTCCTCCGTCTTCCTGTCCCGCGGGACCTAATGAGTTCTATCCCCTTCAGATACCGAATCCAAACCTTGAAGCAACTTCGTGGAGCTTAATCTTAAAGCTCGAGCGTCATGTGCCGTCCGCTAAGTACACATCGACTTCCGATGGATCATCGATCTGCCATATCTGTGATAACTTACGAAATGCGATGTAATAGTGGCGGTCGCGAAGTATGGGCCGTCTTTCGCCAGCGTTCATGACGTCCGAAGCTGATCAGCTGCTTCTTCTCGCCAAAGGTTGCCTCACTGCTAGGGCACACTCCACATCGCACAGTGATCCTCACGACTCACACTATACGGTTCCAGCGCCCTCGGTCGATATACATGTGCACATATATGACACTCTGTTTGCCCCCGATGATCGCGCTCCATATTAACCCTCACAGTCCCGGCGTCCGGCAGTAACGCGAGGAAATAAACCGGTGCTACCCTCTTTCAGCCTCTTTCCCATCTTCGTCGGCGGGGACCTCGTGACATCAAGAGTTTAAACACACGTGCCCTATCTTCTTCCATTCTACACTTGCCTCATGCGTTCTGGGAACCTTGTGGGCTCTTACGATTCATGCTAGCATGTACACCATGACCCGATATGGACGATATAGTCGCTCCTTCCCCAAGTGTGCATGAATGCCGTCATTCTTGAGGTCCTCATGATCATGTCCAAGGTAAGATAATCGCAGAAATCTATGAAAATTCTCTTCCATTGCGCTGGCAAATGGAGAAATCGTTCTAAGTACATGTAGATAGGTATAACTATACACAGCCAAGTGGGTATGACGGAAATATGTATCGCAATGAGGTGAGAAGAGTTGATAAGTTGTTACACTGGAGAGTTCCGTATTTGCAAGTAAAAATACATCGGTTAGATACTTAGTGGGAAACCGCGTTCGCAAAGGAAAAATAGTACACTCGTGGTCAGAAGGCGGACATTGATGACATGAAAGCGGAAAATTCCATATCCACGCTGGCAAGCTCCAATTTTCCTGGTTCGAACAACGAAAATTGGTCTTTCGAGAAGAAATCTTGATGCGGGAACGAGGATGCGTCGAAATTTTCGGGGGGACCGAATGCGCTGAAGCTGTCTGAATATCCCCCGTTGCAAGGCAGGGAATATGAGTCGTTGAAGGAAAACGAACTAGATGTGAACAGATCGTTGCCTTCCGCACATAGAGTATCGAAAGCTGAAGGGTCGAGGGGAATTTGGGGCGTGACAGGAGAGTTGCAGTATGGTGATGAAGCTTGCGACCAGTCGCCGCTGCACAGTGAGGTATCGATAACTAATGAAGGTGTTTGAACCCGTGTCTCGCATGGTGAAGGAGAGAAATCTGGGAAAGTTGGACCCGCGGACGCTATCGAATTGCCGAACGCTACGTCGAACATAAAAGGGTCGAATTCCTGGAGTAAAAAATTGTTAGCATTAGAGAGAGAGAATAGTCGGGGGCGACTCACCATCGATGGTTGAGGTTTGGCAGGGAACGAATAACTTGATGAAATAAATGAAGACGATGTCGAGAAATCGAGGCAGTCCTCTGACGCTAGACTATCAGACCTCAGTGGAAGATCCTCGCACTGAGATTTCCAAGTCGACGAGAGGGACGGGTGGCTACTCGTAGCACGTATACGACGAGACGCTGGTGAGGATAAAATGAATGACTTCTTCGTTTCCGGATAGTCAATAGGAGCGGATGAAGATCGGCGATATGCTCGAGCAGTGATGGGAGCCTCGAAGCGGGTAACAACCTCAGGGACGTGCGTGCGATCGAATTCCTGAATTGCGTCTTCAAGCTCCTGGCCCTTCTTTCCCTCTACAAGGAGTTCGGCAATTTTCGCGCAGCGTTTCATGTCCTTCGGCTCCACTTCCCGAACTTTCCGCTTCTCAGTTCCACCCTTGGCTTTTGCATGAGAAGGGCGGAAAGCATACTGCGGCCACTTCCGCCTATGATCCTCCAATGCCTTCTTTGCCTTTGCGTGCCAAATCTGGCGCTCGTCATGGGGCATATTCTGCCACGTAAGACCGATTATCTTTGAAAGTGTGCTGTGGTTAGTTTCCACTCCTGTAGATACGTGCTGGCTTTTGATGAAGGATGAGCGGAAGAGGATGAATGCATTAGGGGGACGGGGGATATGATCGTCGGGCCGCTTTTTGCTATGCGTGGGCCGGCGGGACGAACATTCTCCAGTAGGAGTGGGAAAGAGCACAGGTTCAAAGGTAGTTTCAAGGGCAATAGGAGGATCGTTGAAAGTTATGGGCGTTAGGTTCGGTGCAAAGGCAATGCTCTGAGGAGATGCAGGCTCAAGAGGGAAGAGTCCAAGTTAGTAGGGCGCCTATTGATTTAGAGTAATACACCGTGATGAGTCTATGAATACAACATAGGATGAAGTGCTAAACATACCATCTGAATACTCGCGCTTCATTGAGCCCCGCGATCTCTCAACAGGCATTGTTAGGTAGGAGGGAGGTATCGCGCTGAAGGAAAAAAAGATATTGTGGGAGCAAAGAGCGAGTGGAGCGATAAAGAGGGCACGAGGCAGATTTCCGGACGGTAACTTTATATGTGAAAGTATACGTACACGGTAATTTTAGAGTAAAGCCACGGGCGTGTTTTCATGAAAGTCGGCATAACGGAGGCCATAGAAGGATGAGTCTCTAGACAAGGCGCTTCCAACTAGCACGGGCACAGGCGGGCAACGGCAACAATATGTCTTTAGGCAAGTTGAACCCGAGGAAGCAGATCGTTTCATCAACCTCCCATCTATGGACAGTCGGACATCTAATCAGTTCAAATCGTACTACTTCGTCGCATCATACTGTTCCTTATCGTACTCACACCCATATTTTCTTTTTTTCATCTTTCTTCAAAGATTTTCTACCGCAGACTGGCCGTCATGTCGGCGTGCCTCGAGGACTGCTTCTATGCCCAACAGGAATAATTGTTTTTTTTTTCTGTAGGAGAGATAACTAGCGCCGGCGCGTTTGCACGGACGTGTGTCATTTCCTGTGATCCCTCATTCTGGCAAATACACGGTAACGTTTCTCTTGAAAATTCAATGACATCGTGGACCATGCTGTCTCGTACCTTTATTTAGCACTTGTCGTGGGCGATTGGCACCAGTGCCAATCGTAGAATGATCAGCAAGCATAATCAGCCACATAGCGCTTGCTGTCATCATGATATGCCGGTCCGATCTCATAACCTTTCCGAGACGACGCAGGCTTCTGAGCGTCGGGTCCTGTGGAGCGTGCCTCACCCGTCACCCCCACAACAACCAGGGGCTCAGTCACCCAACATACAAATACTATCCTTGTCTCGATGAGGAACTGTCTCACATCTTGATGCGCTGCTGATGCCATGCGAGCCCAGTGACTCAATGAGTAGATCATATCAAGGATCCACAACTGCACCGGTTCTGCCGAAATTGTCCATCAGCAGTCATAAGCTTTTTTAAAAGACCGTGAAATCATAAAATTCGCGATTAGCTCATACTTTCACTGCCCTTACTCATTACCCACTAAGGCGCATATGATATTCTGATGGGTCAGGGAGTATTGATTCAGAAAGGCCGTCATCAAGACTAAACGTAAATTTTATTCGGTTTTCACAACTCCCTTGTCTTCAGGTCGCGATCCGAACAAGGATCTCCTGCGCGAGCGGGCTAACTTGACAACCAAATACATTGAGCCCATCCCGACTATGTGCCGCGTTCATCGATTTTTTTTTGTACTGAGCTGACCGTCCATGCGATATCGACGCATATCGCTTCCAAGTTGCAAACTTTTCCCAAATTGGTCACAACGTATGCACATACTAGTCTTACTTGCACGAAATCCCTACTGAGACTGGTCTGACAAAGAGACACATTGAATGGCACCGTTATCACATAGCCCCCGCGTAGGGCCTACATGTCGTCACAATTTATGTTGGTTCAGTATGAGGCGTAGCCTATGGAGGGCGTATCACGGTGAACTCACCTAAGATTTGAAACAGAGAAGCTGGGGAAGTGGCTATGCAGTAGATCACTGGGGCATAACTTGCAATGGCTCAGCAAAGAGCTCTAGATGGTTAGAAGCTGATGAAGTTCATCACTCCATCAGATCAGGATGAACGTGAATGTGACCATGATTTTCGTATCGCTTTCACGTTAGTTGCGAGTTCGGAAATGAAAGGGGCCCCTTATTGCAAAGCAGCGTAAATAATCTTTACATCTGTTGCGAATGTCTGTATGCTATCGAGTTCCGCTAAGAGGACATCTCCTTGAGATCTAAATCAGGAGCTGTACGATAACCCCGTGCCAAGCGCTAAGGTGAAGAGTCAGGATCTTCATACCACGATAATACGTCCTCGTCTTTTCGCGACGAATCCCCTTGAATTTGGGTGACTCATGGGGAGTATGTAGGAGTTCTTCATCGGTTGTGCTTGAGCTTGCAGCGGATTCCCAGGGCGACACAAGCGGGGGCAGTCCATCAAGATGCGAAGTAAAAGCAAGGGACTCTGTATCACAGCGAGAATTATTCTCGATCGACCTACGGGCTAGGCGGTGGCCTGCCATAATGGCAATTGAGACAATGTGTAAACCCATCGGAAAAAATATCAGTACCTTTTGTGCGTTTGAGGCGTTTTTGTTGCGGGGGCTGAGGAGTGATATCACTGCCCTCGCCAAAGCTGCTTTGGTCGGACGAGGACATAGCATCTGTTTTTCTCTTCTCAGATACATGCTTAGTCTTGTTGCGCAGTGCATCCAGAGGCATATCGTCATCTGGATCTGGATCTGAGTCCGACTCGGAGCTTTGATAGACACCCGCACTCGCGCGAGGGGGTGGGGGCCGTGGGGATGGCGTCGAGCCGTTCACCAACGTATTTTCCAAAGAGGACTGGTATGCTCCGGGATCATCGTCGTAAGCCTTGGGCGGGTTCGTCGTTTGCTGTACTTGCATTGGAGATGTGCGTCATGGTGGTAATCTGTGAGTGAGGATGGGATATCACTCAGCGATTCAAGTCACAACGGACACGTGATAACAGCCCCTCAAACCTGTTTTCTGACTCCTGAGTCTGCAGAAAGATAATTACACTGGCAAATATTTTGCAATCTTGCGTTCAGTCCAACCCAACCGAATCTTCGGACGAACCTTAGAACTGGGGTATCGACCTTTCCGAACTCCCAGGTGATTACCATGAGCGCTGCGCTATCGAGTAGACGTAGCTCACAGCGAGAAAAAAAACCACGTTAGCTCAGAGATCACAGACGCGCACACTAAAAGGGTGTTCCCATCGTTGGCGCAGATTTTTACTCGCAAAAGCTGTATATTGGAGCTGTATGCGCAACGCACAGCTTAGATCACGGATGAACTTGAAGGCACCAAACCCACGGGTCCATTCGACGACGGCGCACATCCTTTCTCGTGACTGGGTATGCTACTTCTTTAGCAGTCATATCCTGGTACGCAACCATAGTTGTGCGCAGGTTAGGGCAAGGACACGCACAAACCAACTCCCTCTGAAGAGATTCGTGCGATGCGGCAAGAGCTTTGTATTTAACAAGCGGCGAAATTCTGACTAACCACATACTCCAGTTCTCGCTTGTGGATAGAGAAGCATCTTTCGGCTGAATTTATGCGCCCAAAAAATCGTTCGTGCAGTGCTCTGGTGTCGACCGACGACGACCACGTGCACCGCCTCGTCGTCGTAATGGACCATTTGTACGGACGCTATGATTTCAAAGCGCATTAGAATCTTATCTCCACGGTATGATCGCACTCGCAGAGTCGTGTGGACCCGAAGCTTCTAGGGATTGGTGATTTACAGGGGGGAAACGCGTTCACGTAGCTCGATCGTGACTGGAAGCGATGAAAGAAGTGTTGAATTCAGGTTGACCTACACGTGTGAACTGCGCGGACCGGATCATCGCAATGGGGCGCTGCGGCTATTAATTTAGAATTCATAAGTAATAGTTATAGGAGTACTAACATGTATTCATTCATATCGGCACGGGGAGTTTGTGAGTCTAGGGATGCATTAATGGTGGTATAAGCTTAAAATCTGGCGCTCAAGTTCATCGATAACGATAAGCTCCACCGATGTGCTTATCGATCAGTGTCTCGTGAGGCCACCATCAACGCACAGTTCCCGACGCTTGCCTCGTATGGCGTAGTTGCGCCGCCAAGAATCCCGCCCCATATCCATATTTGGAATTCCCGCCCAGCGCCATCAATGATTTGGCGTCTAACCTTGACTTCTGACCATATTCAATGGTGTTCGCTGTCTGGTCCATACCTCTGTGCGCAGCGTTCTCCTATCAGCTCCTGACTCACGATGGGAACGATAAGCGCGCAAGTAACTTCCCGACGCTTCTTGGTGGGCTATAAAAGATAACGTGCAGGATGGTCGTCGAGTCACTGCGCATCCCCGCAATCCCGCCCCACCCCCGCCTTCACTCCTCCTGACTTGCCCAATCTCCCTGACTCAAATCCACCACGATGCACTACCGCATGGGCTCCTCTTCTTCACACAGCCATAAGTCTTGGGCATCTCCCGATCATAATCAGGCCTTCTATGGCCATTCATCTGACCGTTGGTCCGCGTGCCCAACATCCCCGGTACCGACCCCAAACACGCCGCACCTACACACTGTATCGCTCCCGATAACGATCACAAACGCGCCCCACCTCCACACGGTATCCCTCCCACACCCTAATGCACCCTTGCACCAAATTCCTGTGTCGTGTATGCGTTCATTATCTTCGTTCATACCTTACGCAGACCTCATATCTATTGTTTCTTAGACCAACATTCTTCCACACCCCACTCTTCGTTGATAGTCTTGCACCCCCTCTTGAGCCGTGGTCCCAATATGATGTTTAACGTCACGCGAGACCTAGCATGTGTGCAACTGCGACCTGACTGTCCACCTACCAGACTTCGGGAATTTGCGGTACAACCGCCAGTCTATCGTATGACTATTACTATTCCTGAGCTCCCCGCTTGGACGATAGAGGTTGTGAACTCTCACGGCATCACTGTGAATGATGTCCTGTTCAAGATACGTGAAACCCTCAACCGAGGAGTTGCATCGCACGAGATGCAAATGCATAGACTTTCACATGCGGTTAGTGCCGCTATTGATTTTTTCAGGGCCAGGTCCCGTGCTGACCCGCGCGAACATGCGCAGGGCGTGAAGCGCGTTGACTTTTTGGGCCCGAAAGTTTTCTTTGCTGGCATCACCAGAGCTCGAGACGGCTCGGATAGCTGGGATATTTACTTCTCTCAGAATGTTTGATCTGTGACCCATCTCGCCGTGTGCTGGCCGCATCGACTCATTATTCTCAACACATTGGACTTCGATATATCGGACTCGCCCTTCAATGGACTTCAATCGGACTCCATGGACCGTCACTGCCAGCTCTTACTTTACTTTGTATCATCATTGCCATTACCACTCACTCCTGCACATCGATATTCGACCGCCTCCTACTCACGTTTTTATCGCTATCTTGCTGTATCTCGCTCTGCAATGTTTACGATCTACCGGAATGACTTGGATAGACTAGTCACGTATACCAGGACACTTGCACTTTTACAACATACTCAATCCCTATGCAATGCAATGTATTTCTATATGATCGATTTTTAATTCTGAAGCAGTAGGTGATATGAGTGGGACGAAGTCTAGTTGCGCTAGAGCTCGAGGTTGGTGCATCAGTTCATCTCAACTAACGATTACTATCGATGAGCGGCAAGTAGCAACTTAAAGGGTGTGGTGTGACGATTAATGAAACCCGCCTCACTAACCTCTCAATCCATCGCTATCGTTCATTCAGTTCCCTACGTTTGAACGAACCCACCAGTCTTCCGCGAGCTTAGTACTCGCAGCACCTGGATCCGACCTTGCAGACCTTCTCGAAACCATCAAGTCGGTGTTCAATACTGCAGTGGCAGCAGTAGCGACGGACAACGCAAGATCGATGTCGCGCCCTCCGAGCTTGCTGAAAGCAGCCAGAGCAAGCACAATATCGTCGTTGATATTCCCGAGGCGCTCCAGTCATTATAGCAATAGCAGCGGCTGGTGAAGAAGCAGTATGACACCTGCGCCAATTATCCCATTGGCGACCCTGATGGAACGGCTCAGAATGTGAGGGGTAGCAGCAGTAGCCAGACCCAGTCGTCTATAATGGCCACTTGTTTGATGGCTTTGAGTGCCTGATAACTTAAAATACATGAAATACCTGCGGACTGCGAGCCACGTCCAAGGAGTTGCTGTTGCTGCTTGGCGGGCTTCTCAGTCTAAAAGCAGGCGCTTGAGCTGGAACAGGCCTTCGAAGTCAGTGGCGATACAGCGGGGACTAGATTAAAAGCCGACGAGCCCGGGGTCGTTATATGAGATGAGACGGAATGCTTGCGACTAGGAGTAATTGTGAACAGGCGCAATAGTGATGCTGATTAATTGGACTGCGTGGATTTCATCTGCGTCGGTTTCAGAAGGACGATACATCTTTATTCACCTCGCACCTCCTTTCTGTGTCCAGCGTAGTCCAACACATAAAGGAGTTAGGGTAATTAGGTTAAAAAGTATGTGCCGCGTCTATATCTGAAATGCTTGAATAGAAAAGGCATGTCCCAGGAAACAGAACGCAATCATCATACGGCGATGTACCCTCCACGGCTCGACCGCCGGGGTCGAACTGTCGAACATAGATGAGATACGACGTCTTGTAACATATATGGCACTTCGCGCCAAAAGTCTCGATGTCTATGCAAGCTGTTAGGAGGTGCTCCTGAAAAGAATTGTGATGGCACTCACGGTATAAGATCCACGCCGCGAGCACCATATGTAGAATAATTGTAGTATGCTCCTAGTCCGAAATACGCTGCAAATGCAAGAAGCAAGCTAGAAATAAGGTGTCAGTCACGACAGTCATATTCCTGATGGATTAACCACCGCTCACACAATGAAGAAGAATCCAAGCCCACTGCCCACGCTCTCCGTTGGTTTCTCGTCACTATCGCTGCTGCCTCCATCACCAGTCTTGTCATCCTCTTGTGGTGGGGATTGCTCAGCAGTTGAACACCCGGAGGGTGTACTCCACTCGACATGTACTGTTCCGTTCTCATAAGCGACGAATGTAGGGTCTGTGGTGTCGGCACACAAGAGGGAGAACTGTATGGATTGTGGTATTGGATCGTTGGAGGGATACGAGGCTCCGTGAAATGTCAAGGAAAGACCTTTCGGTGCTGTTATAGTTGTTTAGTAGCCATAACAGAAAATCAGAAAGACGCTCCACTTACAAGTAAGGGATTTATATTCCGGGCCAAGTGAAGACGACTGCGCAACAGGTATGACAGCAATCACCCGGTCATCGTACCCTTCCTTCTGGTTCTTCGTCCTCAAACATGCCCTTGTCCCAGAAAAGCACTGCGTTTTCACATCAGCATTAACATATCACGATTTGAACGGGTTGAAACTTGCCTGGTCCCCTTCTGCCACATCCTCCAACGTTGGCAAGTCGTCGCACAGACTAAATCTGAGCTCATCCAACATAGTTGTAGGCGGCGACTCTCTCGTCCTGCTCAGTGTCTGCACACCTTTCAGCTGCGTAAGGTCCCAGGTCAACCCTTCGGTCGTGACATGGCAATCAAAGTCTTCTGCCGTTACATAGACTGTAGAAGATAATAACAAAAGTAAAGAGAACAGGTTGGAAGGTAATGACTGAGCTATGAGGTGCCGGAGAATCATGGTTATGCGGAGGGGAAGGCGATGAAACTTGAGGGCAAGCCGCAACGGCGAACAGTTACAAGTAAGTATTCGAATTACGTAAGACACGCGTGCGCGTCCAAAGCCACTGCCATTTCCGCTTGGATAACTACATCAATCACCATCAACTGAACAAGCAAGTTTGCAGGAAATCGAGCATGGCAGGACTGGAGCAACTGGTGCAAATGATATATCATGAGAGGCAGCAGGAAGGATCAAATCTTTGTGCGCAGCATGCGCTCAATTCGCTACTTCGTACGTGCCCTTATTACCTGTTGCTCGATGTGATCATTGACTTCAGTTTCTCCATTTCCAGAGGGAAACTATGTTGGTATTCACCAACAATTGGCAGCCATGCACTCACCTACGTGATCACTATAGTTCACAGCCCCCGATCTCTCTGAATTTGCTCGGAAGATGGACACTCTGGAGGAGTCATCGCGTTATGGCGATGCCATTCGAGTACATACTAGTGCCAACATGGATGATACAGGTTATTCCTTTCGAGTTTTCACTACATGAGACTAATTATTCCTCAGGATTTTTCTCTGTGCAAGTGTTAGAGGAAGCACTTAATGTCTGGAATCTCAGGTTTGTCCAATTGACGTTGTACAGCTTCTGCGACCACCTTATAAGCACTCTATTCTAGCCTGATACGCTGGCGCTCTGAGGCTATGAAGCCATATCAGGACGAGCCACAGTACGTCCGCCATGAGTTCTCATCTCCCGTTCCTCATTATATTGTCCTCCCCCAAGTAACCAAGCCGCATTCGTACTCAACCAGAATCAGCATTGGTACACATTGCGACGATTTGGAGATCTCTCTAATCCAGGTGATGGCCACTGGTTCAACCTCGACTCCACTAAGCGCCAGCCACAATGGATCAGCAAACTCTACCTTGGCATGTTCTTGCAACAAGCTGAGAGCGACGGATACTCTATCTTCGCAGTTACGCAGATCGATCCAGATGTACACTCTCAACTTCCCCATGTAGACGCAGATGAGATCGCATCTACTTTCCCAGATCCTACTTCAGCAGCTCGGGATGACGTGGAACCTGGTTTCGAGAATGAAGATATGGAGCTGCAAGCAGCCTTACAAGCATCGCTTATGGGGGCTGGAGAACCCAGTGGCTCATGGGCCACGCCGGGTTCCTACCATCCCGCACAAGCTAGTCTATCCGCCCCTAACATACGCGGATCGAGTTCATCGAGTTCAACCAGAGGAGCTATGCCAGGCATTCCTCCCAACCAAGACCCGTACGGTAACGCCGACGTTGACCCGATTACTGCGTCCATGGAGCGTGATCGTATACTCATGGAGCGCATGCGACGTGAGCAAGAATTGGAGTTTAGACAGCAGTACGAGGAGGAGGTTGCACGGTTTGGAAGTCGGCAACCGCCACGCGAACCACAAGATGATGGCAATGAAGACGAACATTTACGTCGTGCAATTGCGGATTCATTAGCAGAACGGCATGCCAGAGGAGACTTTGATGATGACGATTCTGAAGACTCAGACTACGCGACCCCTCCCGAAGCAAGGGTACCATATAGCATGGGGCAGCGTGACCGAGTTTATGATGATGATGACGCCAACTTTCAGGCCGCACTGAGAGCATCATTGGAGGGTGCAGCTCCGGAATTTCCCCCCCTTCCAATACAATCACTTCCAACGAGACAATTACCTTTGTCGCATATCCCCACAGCCCTCGAGGATAACGAGACGGACGGTCAATCGGAGGCAGATACTAGCACGGTTGCATCAGAAACCGACGCAGAAGCAGCTTTAAGTATGGAAGAGATGCGTAGAAGAAGGCTCGCAAGATTTGGTAGTTGAAGGTGTACTTATATTGGATTGAAGTCGCTAACAGTAATCATACAACCAGCGAGTGCATTGCGTTGTACATTTAAGAGTCCACCATTATAATATACAAAATGTGACACTCTCCAAGGTCTGAAAAAACCTATCTACTTTCTCTCCGCGCCCCCCAAGCCCATGACGTGCTTGGCCTTGTCCGTCAAAGACTCCTATAAAGTTTCGTCAGGCAAAGAAAAACAAAGCATCTGACAAATGTCGACTCACCTGGTCTTCGTTGGAGTTTCCACTCAACGTGTCGCCGGCCTTCTGGGTGGTGGATTTCTCGCTCTGAAATCAGGCCGTCAGCCTTGCTCGTAATCTTAAAGCGGAAAGGGGCTAACCTGAGGTTGCAAAGTAGAAGCGACGGAATCAGATACACCTTTGACCTTGTCACCAGCATGCTCGGTCATCGACTTCTGAGAGTCGGGCTAAGAAATTGTCTGGGTTAGCGCAAGTATTAAGATCGAGGAGGAAATGATTCGGACCTTCATGGTAGAAGCAGCCTTGTCGGTCATAGATTGACGTCCAGTGTCAGACATAGTGAAGATGTTATTGGTTGTGAGAGCGTAAGTTGATAAAATATGTTATGCGTGTGTGTGGACAGAGAGAAAGGAGTGAAGGGAGGAGAACTAAATCCCTCGTCCTTTTATACCTTTTGGAAGTGGCGGGGAAGCTGGGCCAAACTTGGGCCAAACCCTGCCGAACTGGGCGAGGTGACGTCGGTATGACGCATGTAAGTCAATCATTTCGCCTTATTTGGAAAGTCATTAAGAATGACGCTGGCTTGTCGACATGGCGCGGTGACGCTGCTGACGATAAATTATTTCTGCTGATGTCACGGATGGCAAGTATGCAATGAATGACAAACTGTGCATGCGCAGGCGAGAAGTGCTTGGCGAGGAGAACTGGTAGCTCTCGAATAACGTCGGCCATAATTTGTTCACTGGAAGGTCCACTGAACTGTAGACAGCTACCAGCGAAACCCTTGATAGATCGCTCAAAAAATACTGTATCCACAAGGGGTATCTAGATCTTCGGAATCAATTAAGAAGAGTCAGTCGAGGATTAGTCTAAACTGCACGTCGGGAGCGACTCCAAGCATCGGCTAATCCTGACGGTGTGCGCTCACGTGACTCGGAGACTGAGTGACTCGACCAAGGGACCTCAACTCGACCTCAACTCGTGTGACCTCAGTGAGATGTCAGCCTACCCCCGTAGTCGTCACCCGACCCCTTTGAAAGGTTGCAGCTCATCATATATACGTGCATTGTACAGCCTGACCAAAGTGGAGACCCTTGAGTATTGAATCGTGATAGAATCAGTAGACGCACTGACAGTAGAATACTATGTTCTCTTCGGGAATACTCATTACTTGCAGCGCAGGTTCTCCCACCTCACAGCCGGGAACCATGCTATGAGTGCAAAATACAAATACAAATCAGTGGAAAATATGGGTAAATGTCTATACGGTCATAGCGAATGGTTCGTAGCCAAAGACGGGTCCGTAGTATCATCATCACGTTCTCCAAGCTCACGGTGCCGCCGCCGTGCAAATCGTAAATAGCGAGAAAAGCGGTTTTGTTGAATTGAGGGCGCTTGGCTGATACGTCGGTTGGGAGGAGACTCATGATGGGTACCACGATCGCCCGCGTCTCCTGACAACATTGTCTCAAGAGCGTGAAAGTCTATCACCAGTTAGCAAAAGATATATTGAGTTCACGAGGAGGTAAATTCACCTTGTCGACATAATGGGCAAGAACCCGAGAGCTCTAGAAGCCATGGATCAACGCACGTCTGGTGGAAACTATGTTTGCCCTCGCAAGGCAATACCCTTAGCTCATCCCCCTCCTCGAAGTCAACAATGCAGATGGGACATGTCTCACGCCCGATTGCCTCTGGCATCAGCGGATCGGCATCTCGTGGTGAAGCTGGTGACCTTTCGGAAGTAGCAGGCTGTCGTGGAGTTGTCAACCGAGGTACAGCTCGTGCACCCTCCCGACTATGCACATCTTCTGTAGCACCAGCAGTAGGAATGCGCCTGTTGCTAGTCTCTCCCACTGGTTGTAATGGTTGCTGTACTGCTTGCCTGGAGATAGTGCCCATCTCCACTGCATCACCTGACTGTTGCAGTGTTGTATCAACATCCACCGGAGGTGATTCGACGTCCTTGGGCCTATAAGTGGGATCATCCTGATCATTTGACACGGTGCCAAACTTCACAATCGGGAACGTGTCCAAAATGGCTCGTCCAAGGCCTCTGGCTCGACTTTGACTTCCGCCACGGGCAGTTCGGGGGCCATACCTCTCGGGATGGCGTATTGCCCTAATTGCCTAGATAACTTTTTAGATCAATAACAATTAACAGTACACACCGACGTACCCCTGAGACTATGACGACGCAAAACAATGCTGAAACACAGCCGGTGATAGCATACAGGATGATCCTGTGATCCGTCTCAGCCATATAATTGAAAAACTATCAAACCATTTTCACATAGCTAAATCTGTCCCTTTGTTACCACCCTGATCCGTAGACGGACTAGTGGAGCCATTGTTGATACTGGGTCCCGTAGAGTTACTTCCTGTCGCATTCCACGCCTGCAAAGTTGCAAGCAGATAGCCAGGAGCGGTGGGATAGCCTAAGACTATAGACTGGCTGATAATTGCTTCGGATGCGTTCAAGGTGGCTGCATCAAAGTCCCCGTAAAGGGACGTATTAGTGGGTCCACTTTGCCCAAAATCGTATATGATCCTAGGGAGCCGTAAGCTATAGATGGGCCTGAGCATACATAGTCGACTTCACCTCGAGACCGATTTTGACTGAGTTACGAATATATCGAAGACTTGGTCAAATTTAGCGGGATCAGCATACTCTGGATTGATGGCGCAAGTTTCGGAATAAAGAGAATACAGAAGCTACATTGAAGAAAGTGAATATGCAATTGTCAACATATGAACTGAACATTCTTACAGCAGATTGAGCACCCGCGCTGCTCGCCATCGTAAATATGTCAACCTGTTCAGAGTAGTTCGTCGCATTAGCATCGCATGCTACCAGAGCTATCCAAGGGGTGCTTGCTGTGAACATCCGTATGAGCCCCCTCACCGAGCCGATAGAGCGTTCACGCCTACTTGTCTCGTTCTTTGCTAAACTCTCCGTGAAGCGTACAAATGCCCCCTGCTCAAGAATAAGATCCGAACTCAGCTCCTACTGATATCTACGTACCTTTGTAGTACCGTTGCTATCTGCACCCACAAGCTGGTAGGACACGTACTCCCAATCCGAACTGGCAATAAAGCAACCAAACGGAGCAGGTCAGAATGTGGACGCGGAAGGCACGCGACTGGCTGTAGAATCTCACTCGTTCGGGTACCACTGAAGATCCAACCTCGATGCATTACCATTGACCTGGCTCGTGTCGTTGGAAGGCTGCGCCGGGATGTAGCCGTAGGCTGAGCCCATCAGGCACGAGGACACGGTCAGGAGGGCTTGAAGCAAAACGACATGGAACGACATGACAGCTAGTGAACAGAAGCTGCAGAGAACGTCGGTCTCGATGTTGAGCCACGGATTGACGATGGGCTTGACATTCAGTGTTTGCCTCGACGAGAGCGCGAGGCAATGCCTGCTTAGGTCAGTAAGTAGCCACTGATCGAGTCTTGTTCTAGTAATGATGCTTCAAACCTAATTTACCGACGATAGCCGACGATACGTCATTTCTACGCTCGGTCATGAACACAATAAAACATTGTAGCAGCGGCGAGCGCCAATCCCCGACTCTCTGTTGGAGAGGACACTTTCAATAGATATAGGACTACAAGTACAATAACGACTAAAAATACATGAATGCGGATACCCACAGAATAAGATCTGGCCCTGGCTCGGGACTAGAGGCAGACAATGAACAGATCAGTGGAAATACATATAGTACAGCCAGTACGCAAGTTTTGAACAAAAACATTACATGAACGTCGAGCAGCATTCGAGAGACAAAACCGTTCACCGTTAATAATCATGCCACCGATTCTGCAAAATCGCACATCTACACACACACCCCTTGGTCATCACCCTCCTCTACGAGTCGGGGATATCAAATAGTACAAAAAAGCAGCTATTCAACCTTCTCGGACAACCTCCTTGACCGACTCTGCAAATATCTGACATCCTTTTTGCAGATCGTCCTGCGAGATATTCAGAGGCGGGATGAACCTGATGACTTCATATAATGAAGTCGTGAGAATCAGAAGTCCCTTCTCCATGCAGCGCTTCGCCACACGACTTGCGAGGTTCTTCGGTGCGGATGAAATCAGCACGGGATCTGTTGGAGAGTACGACGGCGATGTAAACTCGACAGCAATCATCAAACCCTGGCCCCGGATATCGACGATCATGCTTCCTACTTCTGTGTCATCACGGAGAGACTTTAATGATGTTAAAAGTTCCCTCGAACTGGAAACTGTGAGACTAACGAATTCTGGGTAACTTATGAAGTGATCTCACCGAGCAGAAACATTGTCGAGGACCTTCTCCTCACGGAAAGCGTTAGCGACGGCCACCGCGGCGGCGCATGATACAGGATTGCCTGCATATGTACCTCCCTTCAAATGTACGATCAACGGAACTGGAAAACATGGGCTAGTGGTATTGAACTAACCATGGAACCTGGCATTAACTTATCTGTAAGCTCCTTCCTGCTGACTACGCCACTCAATGGGAATCCATTTGCGAGACCCTACAGCCAATCAATCAGCCATGATAAACTAATAATTCTAGGACCCCACTCTACCTTTGCGATTGTCATGATATCGGGTCGGACACCACTGTATTCAATGTTGAAGTACTTGCCAGTCCTACCGAACCCACTCTGTACTTCATCTACAATAAGAAGAATGCCGTGTTTGTCGCAGACGGCACGCAAGCCCTTTAGGAAGGATGCAGGGGCGGGGACATAGCCACCCTCTCCAAGGACAGGCTCAACGATGATGGCAGCGGTGTCCCTGGGAGCTGTCTGTTGTTTGAGAACAAGATCTAGTTGATACAATGAGAGTCGGACGAGCTCTTCTTCACTCGTGTTAGATGGTAATCCCAGTTGATGCCAGTAAGGGAAGGGTATAGCAAACACTCCAGGCTACGATGATGTCAGTTCAGTCGCTGATGTCCCGAACAACAGTATTACTTACCATCAACGGGAAGAATCCTTCACTATAGACTGTCTTGCTCTTCGTAACAGCCATGGCACCAAACGTCCGTCCATGATAACCGCCTGCAATATTCTTGATAAGCTCTTTGCTGCGCGAGTACTCGCATTTGGCTTACCCTGCATGGTGATAATGTTCTGCCGACCAGTGATTTGTCGTGCCATCTTGAGGGACGCTTCAATGGCTTCAGAGCCTGAGTTCCAAAAGAAGAACGAGTCAAGCGATGGATCGGGCATGATCGGAAGTAGTTTCTCGATGAGGCGTAAGTAAGGGCCATGGAACGAGATACTGCACTAGAAGAGTATCAAGGTGAGCTTGTCTCAACCAACATTTTAAAGTCAGAGCGTACTTGAACATGAACGATATTCACACATTGATCTGCTGCAGCTTTGGAAACCTTCGGGTGACAATGACCTGGTGTTGTGTCATCATTGAACTCCCGGTGAATCATTAATGGGGCGCGTAAGAGCTCACCGAGGTTGGTTACACCGATCCCGCAGCTGAAATCTAGCATCCTGCGCCCATCCTCAAAGCTCACATATGACCCCTCACCCTTCGCCATGATAGCTTCTGTGAGGCGGCCGAGGCCTCTGGTGACGTGTTGTTGTCCAAACGCAACGAGAGAATCGGCAGAGGTAGCCATCCCCCGCGACTGTGATTTGGGTGTCCTACCTGCAGGAGCGACACGCCCACAATCCCGGGCATGGTCATTTCTGTGGCGCAGATCAGTAACCTAGAGCTGCACCGCGACGCGTGAGATGCCTACCTAACCATTGGAAATACAGAACATTTGGCGGGTCCAGAACTGCCCGTTGAACGGATAACCCTTGCGCAGGTAGATACTCTGAGCATGCTTGTTATACGTAGTGCAGTTTGACGGCGGCCAATTGAAAGGTCAAGTTAAGTATGTCGAGGAAGCGAAGTACATCCTGAGAGTCTGACTCCTGCAGGCTAATTACATAGTATGTGCTTCTAAATATAGCATGCAGGGTTGATCTGATCAGGTGGTTCGACGACTCTCCCTCATCTAAAAAAATCGAACCGAGTTTTCAACAGAAGCCTGTATGTAGCCGAGCGCCTAGCGTCGCCTAAGTACCTCTCCACCAATGAGAGCGCACGCTTATGGCTGAAGAAAGTTTCAAATGTGAACGTAAACTTGGCTGTCTCTCAGATGGCCCTTGCGCAAGGAGCTCCAAATAGATCCACTTCCTGCACTTGCGCGTGTAACTGCATTTCTCAAATCCGATGTAAGATTACGAAGATCCTTGGTATGAAAAAAAAAATCGTGCAACTCCCCAGTCTCGTCAATACTACCTTCGAGCGCTGGAGTCAGATATGGATGTACATGGCAGGCAAAAGAACAAGACTACAACAGCACCCACTGGCAAGATCACAAGAACTTGCCGATGGGAGTAATGCCTTCAAAGCCGTTCTGCGTCCTATCGTAAGCCACACGGCCCCGCAAAAATGTTTGCTGCACAACTCCATTTAGCACCATCCCTTCAAATGCGGAGAATTTGTTCTTGAAGTGAAAGTGTTCCTTCGACACCTGTCACCGTCAAAGAATGGGCAAAATTGAGAGGACTTGTGAAATACCTTGAACTCGGCTGCAGGGTCCCAAATGACGAGGTCGCCGTCATGCCCCACTGATAGCTGGCCTTTAGACGATGAAAGCCCAGCATGTTTCGCAGTTTGTTCGCTTGTCCAGCGAATGATCTGACCAAGGCTCACGCCCCTCCTTCGGCTTTCTGTCCATAGAAGGCTAAGGCCAAAGCCGAGACTGTTAATGCCTCCCCAGGCGGTCATTATATTCCCCTCCTCAAATTTCTTCAACTCCGCAACGCATGGACTGTGATCAGACACCACACAGTCGATTGTTCCGTCTATCAATGCATCCCACAATGCATCTCGGTTTGATTCGGAACGAATAGGTGGGCAGCACTTAAATTCGGGTCGACCGTTTGGTATGCTGTCCGCTGAGAGACACAAATAATGGAAGCACGTTTCCACCGTCAGATTCAACCCGCGAGAACGCGCAGCACGGATGATAGGAAGGGCGGAAGACGCAGATAGGTGGACGATGTGACAACGAAGGGAGTTGTACTTCTCTTGCAAACGGGTAATCAGAGAGATCGCGTTAACTTCAAGCTCTTGAGGGCGAGAGGAGAGGAACGTCTGGTATGCTGTTGGATCGTGGTCCTCATGGTTTTGCACTGAGGAGTCGCCCTCAAGCTCTGCATGGAACAGAAGGACAGTCGATTGATCCTGCGAGAGGTCAAAGTTAGCTAGCTCGCTGTGTCCTCGTATGCAATTTGACCTGGAGTTCTTGCATATGTTCATGGAGATCATGTTCGAGGACGCAAGGGAATTCCTAGAAAAATGTTGTTGGACATTGGGTAATAGAACACAACCTTGCCCTCGCCCTCACCTCGACGCCACTTTCGATCAAAAAGCACTTAAATCCTTTGACTCCAGCTGCCACCAATGGTTTCAGGTCTGCCTTTATTCCAGTATCAGCCCTTCCGTCCTCAAACAGTATCGGACGTGCAGCTTACCTGGTTGCCTGGAATAACTCCACCCCAAAAACCAACATCGGACCAGCATTGGCCTTCGGCGGTTTGTCGCTTGATCTCAAGGTTCCGTAAAGTGGTTGTAGGTGGTATAGAGTTTAACGGCATATCCACGACCGTGGTGATTCCGCCTCCCACAGCCGCTCGCGTACCGGTCCAAAAACCCTCCCAGTCCGTTCGGCCAGGCTCATTTAAATGAACGTGAGCACTGCAAAGGTATACAAACGACGGACTCTCCGGTGGCCACTGGATCAACTTACTCGACTAGTCCGGGAAGAACAAACTTTTCTCCCGCATCAATGAACGTCGTCTCTTCACCCGGACTTCGTTCTGTATACACCGTTTGGATGTCTGTGATCTTACCTGTGCCGATGTTCACCGTGATCGTTGCTGCCTGCGGCTCATCTGAACCGGGCAACAGGACATTCTGGCTAGTTACAACTAGGCACTGGTTGCTCATGGCCTTGTCGCTTTCAGTGGAGTGACAGCGTAATAGTAATTGACTGCAGGTACAATCAAACCTTGAAATATGCCAAAGATATGAGCACTCACAATGTATGCACTGCGATGGTGCAGCAATAGTGATCTAGGTCAACGCTGGTTCGTACTAGGTACCCAAGCCCACACGGGTGTCCGATAACGGACTCTCGATCGACTTGTTGGCCCAATCAGTTAATTGCGTCTCTACAATGTAAGTTCCTTCTATTGGTCTAAAGGTTAAATTTGTATCCAGATAGTGTTATATCAAGGACTCTCAACACGATGTCAGGTACAGGCCATCAACAACGTGTCACACAGATCTGTCCAGTTCACAGCACACTAACAAGCGTACAAGTAAGCACACTGTCGCGCAAGCACCTATAGCAGCTCTCCAGAAGGTTGGAGACCTTTGAAACCATCCTGAAGTGCCGAGTCGTAAGCCAATCTACCACGAACAAATGTTTTGTCCACGACGCCTCTCAAAATCATGCCTTCATAGGGAGTCAACTTGTTCTTGAAAAACAAATGCTCTTTCGAGACCTATCATGCGATCAGTTATTACCACGGGAGCAGCAGTAGCGCTGGCATTCACCTTGAACTCCATTTGCGGATCCCAGATCACTAAATCGCCGTCATGTCCCACTTTCAGCTGGCCCTTGTCGGATAGCCCCGCTAGTTCGGCATTTTTAATGCTCATCCAACGAATCATCTGTCCAATCGAGACGCCTCTCTTCCTTCCTTCCGTCCATAGAAGACTCAATCCAAGGCCTAGAGAGCTGACTCCACCCCAGGCTGCCATGAAATCACCGCTTTCAAGTTCCTTCATCTCAACGAGACAAGGGCTATGATCGGAGACTACACAGTCAATGGTACCATCTATGAGAGCGTCCCAGAGGAGATTTCTGTTAGAGTCCTCGCGAATCGGAGGGGTGCATTTGTACTCGGTCGCGCCATCCGGGATGTCCTCTGCTGATAAACACAGATAATGAAAACATGTTTCGACGGAAAGCTTTGATCCGTGTGCTTTGGTAGCACGGATGGTGGGCAAGGCGGATGCAGCTGATAGATGGGCAATGTGACAAGAAACTGAGGGGTACATTGCTTGGAGGCGAGTAATGAGAGTGATGGCATCTATCTCGAGCTCCTCGGGACGCGAACAGAGGAATTCCTGGTATGACCTTGGATCAAGTCGGTGTCGCGCTGATGTAGAAGCGTTCTGCATTTCAGCGTGGAAGATCATGACAGAATTCTTTAATAAATGCCGCCAGTTAGAGGATAGTTATCATTTTCATGCTCGACAAAGCCCTACTTGGAGGCGAGACATGTGGGTGTGAAGGTCACTCTCAGAAACACGAGGAAATTCCTATGCGCAGTAGGCATAAACATAAATACGCACGGAATTTGTAGTTTTTACCTCAATGCCTGTGTCGATCAAAAAGCACTTAAAGCCTCTGGCGCCAGCGGATAAGAGGGGTTTTAATTCGGCCTATAGATGATGGGCACATGGCGCGCTGCAGGAATCTATTGGCGCGCTTACTTGATTCCCAGGAATCGCACCGCCCCAGAATCCAACATCTACCCAACACCGTCCACGAGCAGAACAACGTTTGATATCAAGGTTCCTTGGTGTGGTGGTGGGCGGACTAGAATCGACAGGCATATCAATTAGAACGGTGACGCCTCCAGCGGCGGCGGCTTGTGTGCCTGTCCAAAAGCCTTCCCAGTCCTGGTTTCCGGGTTCCTCCAGATGAACATGGGCACTATTATTGCGATAATCAACAATGGTGCTTTTAGACCAGGAACGACGCCCACTCGACCAGCCCAGGAAGAACAACTTTGTCCCCGGCATCAACGAAGTGTGGATCTCCACTTTTGATACACGCTGCACCGCCAGTGTAAGTCAAAAGAACCTCGATGATTTTGCCAGTCCTGATGTCAACATTGATTGTCGCAGGTCGTGGCTGATCACAATCAGGAAGCAGGACATTTCGACTGGTCACGGTGAGGAGCATGTCTCAGAGTTAAGTATGATGCGGCCTGCCCTGAGCCCTGGCCCGCCTAGTTGGTCACAGATGCTCAGTCACAGTAACATGTACAACTGTGTCTAGAATCGGGTGCACCTTTAAAAGGTAGAGGAAATCACGGCGAGTTCGTCGAATTCAAGCGTTGCTAGGCCTTGCATAGCCAGCTGTTGACCTTCAAGTGCAATTGGGGGATGCACCAAATATTGGCGTTGAGTCAGAAAGCAAGCAAGCAAAATGGGATGGTGAACAGGGTAGCCTAGTACACCTAAGTAGAGTTTTAAAGTCCGGTTGCCGGACCGAAAAAAAGACCAGGACCGGACCAAAACTGGACTTTTTTTGATCTGGACTTCGGTTGTGACATCAGTGTCTTTTGACACATCATCTGGAACATCACTGAGATAACGGCGAAGCTCAGCACGCCAGTCTGCATGCTGATCACGGGACACCTGTTCCACCAGCATACAACAGTGACAATCAAACTCGGATTCAATAATACAGGAGTTGGACTTGGCTGTTGTGATGATGGTATGTGTTAAGACCGTGCTCAGGGGTAAGGCGGAGTCTGAGGGGCTTGGCTTCAGCTCGTGCGCTGCGCCCCTTACCCAAGTACATACCCCTAATTTTGGATTGTAGTCTGACTTGAGTTCTACGAGCTCCGACAGGACATTGGAGTGGAGGTCCTCCGAAGGAGGACCAGTGGACTACTAGACAAGTGTAGGAATGTCGGGTGGAGGTTGGTCCGCCCAACAGGAGAGGGTCGGAGGGCTACTGCAGTTGGAGCTCACAGTAGGAGCAGAGTGGAGGTAACTGCTCGGATGAAGTCCGAAGCAGAATGGAAGCGAGGAGGACAGATGTACAGGAGTATTGGCCATAAGTCTGACACGTGGGAAAGGCGGCTGAGGTGCAGGAAGTCAGACGAGTGGAGGAGGCGGCCAACCTAGGGAGTCAATCCCCTAGGCTGGCAGACAGGAGTTATCAAGGGTTTTGCCCAAGAACAAGAGTAAGAGAGCAGGGCTTAGAAAAGGTAATATTCAGACTAAAGATCTACAGACAATTGTACATAAGTTTATATACTCTAAAAGTAGCATAGCATAGCAGAAGGCTATGTGCTGAGTGTACAGAATTATTAGAAAGATGACTAAGACATACGAGAAAGGGGCTTGGAGAACAGTATGTATGCGATGGATCAATAATCACTCAGGTATAAGGATTACCGGTGATCTGAAAGGAGGAACTATGATACTAAAAGGAGATAGGACCAGTTGAGTGGTTCCTAGTATAGGGGTGGACCAATGAGGTGGTCGGGTGGACCAATAGTCAGATGGAGCAACATGAGAGGAATCTGGAGGGACTGAGTGGGTTGGAAAAGCGGAGATGGTGGAGGGAGTAGGAGTAGGATCAGGTGGACCAATAGGGTGGAGGAGTGGAGCTCCAGATAGAGTTGGATGGTAGGGATATGATGTCGGAGGAAATAGGGGTAATGTCGGAGGAGCAGAGCAGAGTCGGGTGGAGGTAGCAGGGCTAGTCCTGCTGAGATGCACTTTGTGCATTTGTTGGAGAAGGAGGGATGGAGCAGACAGGGAAACAGGGGGTCAGACCAGCAGTGAGGATGTTTGCAGGTGGTACTGGAGGTGCTTGAGTATGGTATATGACAGTATGGGCAGGTGCCTTGGGTCAATGCTTCACATATTCTGTCATAGTCGACTCAACTACTTTCAGTGCCTCATCGCACCAATCAACAGCATTTGGATTCCCTGCAGCACGCTCCGCTGCCTGCTCTTCACGACCACCCCACTGCATTGTAATGTATGCAAGCTTGTAGTATGGGTGGAGGACTAAATCAAACAGTTAGTGTAGCCATGTGCGCATGCAGAAACTAGGACACACCAAGAGCAAGCACATAGACAGGCTTGTTGTCAAACTTCTTGTAGTACTTACCGAGCTTGTCGAGACCTTTCTGGATGGCGCCTTTGTACATCTCGTACTTTGGTAAATTGTGCTTCACCCCCCATGCAGTCTGAAGCTCCTCAATGGCGGGTATAGCATGCCAGAGTGTAGGTTGTTTTTCGGATGAGAAATACTGCTGAATATTATTAGTGTCCTATAATTTAAACAATTAGCGTGTGCAATAAATGATAAGAAATGAACTTACTGCAATAATTTCTTGTGTATCGTTGATGCGCTCCCAGTCGGCACTCTTGAAAGTGAACGCGGACCAAGGTGTCTTCTTGATGAGTTTTCCATTGCATTGAATGGTTGTTATTGGTCCAAAGAGTTTGTCGGCAGTGCTTATAAACAAGTTAATGGGCTGTGAGATAATTCAGCAAGCATTGGGAGAAAAAAAGACTGGGATGTGCATGTCTTAGTGCATAAGCATGACTGAGCATGCTATCTGCCATTCCCCATCTGACGTTGCTGTGCAAAGGGATCTTGAAAACCTTGTCAATGCCACTGTTTCATTGCAGGGTCTCGAAGTATTCTATGCGCTGCCCAGAACATTGTATCTTTGCAATAGGTCAGATTAGTTACAGTAACAAATATATAACAAATAACATACCTTGATGGCAATAGTACGAACTGCAGCAACAATGTCCAGAGAATTTCCAAGAACCCGATTGCTGGAATCAGTAGGGTCGAATTCCCAGATAGCAATACTAGTCTCTACATTGGCAATGTGTGTGATTGTGGACATGAGAGCAACAATGCCAAGGATAACAACGTGAGCTAGACATGGGAGATGGTTTTGAACTGTGTCGAATGAATATATGTTTTGGTGATGGAGGATGGTCTCGATTGTGGAACATGTGGTGTCATTGTTTGAGGTATTATCTGCTGTGAGACAGAAGAGCTGCTGAGCTTGTGAGCAAACACTATACTATAAACGAATCTATCATTGCATACCTTGGATGACTGGCCCACCACAATCCCAGCACACTCACATAAACCAATAAAGTAATGCCCCAAATTGTCCCCACTATGAGCCCCCGAGATGCCTTTGAATGCAATAACTTGTGCCTGAAGAGTCCATCTACCAGTCGCATCGTCCACCTCAATCCAGTGTGCAGTAAGTCCAAAAAATGCAGCCTTAGTTTGGTCAATGGACCAGAGGTCTGTTGTTGAGACACGACCACTGTTGGCAGACTTGAGTTAGTCAGTAGCTAGTACTAGTGCACTATGATAATAAAAATCATTTACCTGAATATCAGACTTTAATTGCACAAAGAAATCCAGGAAGGCGTTGTGGATGTAAGTTGTAATATCATGCGCTGAGGGAATATTGGCCTTCATAGCAGCTGGCTGCATTGCGACTAAACAGTTCCTAAAGGTGGCCTTGTTCAGTAATCAATCAATATCAATGGCTAATTAGTAATCAGTGCTCACCTGATCATCACAGACCACAAATTTTGCAACTGCATGCAGGACATCCTCTCTTGAAAACTGGCGTAACTTTGAGGCCTTCGGAAACATTCCATCTAGCTTCTTCTGAACATTCTTCTTCTTTGCTTCTTCCTGGGCTTGTACCAATGCTTGTGGAAGTGCATGATGGTTCTCGTGTATCCCCAATTCTGCACACTTTTTCTTGTATACATTGTAGTGGCTTCGGATATGCTGATGGCAAGATGAATTACTGCCAACGTGAAACATCTTCCATTTGCCATTTTCTGCAATGAATTGTGCATCTTCCCTTAACACTGCGGGTGAGTATTCTAATATTTCTCAGAGTCAATATACTAACTTGCATATATTGCACCAGCACCCCCGCTTTGTCTCCACCTTGCTGTCTGTTCTGATAAACTTGACAGTACATGCATTTGAGAATATAGTGAGTAGATCATCAGTGCTACTTTTCTTTGTCTTTATTCCTTTGGGGAGTGCGGCATGATGGACGTCTTCAAGATTGATACCATCAATGTCCTTTTTTCAGTTCGTCTTGAGCTAATATCATTATATTCAGAATGAAAAACTGACCTCGTCACAGTCCCCATTTTCTTCAACCATCTCCCCAGTGCTATCAACTGTGCTACACTCATCCACTATGTTGATGGTCTCCTAGGGCCATATGTCTTCCTCAACTTCGACAACGACATCTTCGACAATGACATCTATGGAGTGCTGTGCACGTTTAGTTGCCACCTTCTTCGAGGTACTGTTAAGACCGTGCTCGGGGTAAAGTGGAGTCTGGGGGGCTTGGCTTCAGCTCGTATGCTGCGCCCCTTACCTGAGTACATGCCCCTAATTTCGGGATGTAGTCTGATGTGAGTTCTATGGGTTCCGACAGGACGTCGGAATGGGGATCCTCTGAAGGAGGACTGTCGGACTACTAGGTGAGCGCAGGAAAGTCGGGCAGGGGTTCCGCCCGACAGGAGAGAGGCGGGGGACTACTGGGGTTGGAACCCACAGTAGGAACAGAGTGGGAGGAACAGCTTGGATGAAGTCCGAGGCAGAGCGGAATGGAGGGGGCGGATATGAGGGAGTGCAGGGATCGGATCCGATGCGCAGGAAAGTGCGGCAGATGCACGGGAGTTGGATGAGCGGAGGAACGGGGGGGATGGAGGAACAGTGGAACCCGCAGGATAGCAGAACCCACAGAATAGCGGAACCCGCGGAATAGCGGAACTCGCGGAATAGCGGAACCCGCGGAATAGCGGAACCAGCGGAACCAGCGGAACCAGTGGGACAGAGGAACGGGGAAGTGGGGAAGCAGAGGGTCAGAGGATCAGAGGACAGCCGACCTAGGGAGTCAATCCCCTAGGCCAGGGAACAGGAGTTTTGACTTGGGAAAGACTTTTAAGTCAAAGGACAGAAGAGCAGGGCTTAGAAAAGGTAATATTCAGACTGAGTATCTACAGACAAAGGTACATAGGTTTATATACTCTAAGTAAGGAGCATAGCATAGCAGAAGGCTATGTGCTGAGTGTACAGGATTACAATGGGATGACTGAGACATACGAGAATGAGGCTCGGAGAAAAGTATGTACGCGACGGATCAGACTTGCTAGGGTATAGGGATTACCAGGGATCCAAAAAGCGGAACTATAATACTAAATGGGGATAGGACCAGTCGAGTGGTTCCTAGTCTAGGAGTGGATTGGTGAGGCGGTTGGACGGACTAATGGTCAGGCGGGTCAATACAAGCGGAACCGAAGGTTCCGAGCGGGGAGGAAAAGCAGGGGGAGTAGGAGTAGGATCAGGCGGACTGATAGGGCGGAGGAGCAGAACCCCAGATAGGGTCGGATGGAAGGGGTATGGTGTCAGAGGACATAGGGGTAATGTTGGAAAAGTGGAACAGAGTCGGATGGAGGTAGCAGGGCTAATCCTACTGAGATGCACTTCATGCATTGTCGGGGAAGGAGGAATGAAGTGGACGGGGAAACAGGGGGTCGGGCCAGCAGTGGGGATGCTCATAGGAGGTACTGGGGGTACTCGGATCCAGTATATGACAGGTACATTGTGCCTGTATGATTCTATCATCTGACTCTATGTCTGATCCATCCTTGCTACTGGTTATAGCCTTTCTCTTTCCTGTCTTCTTTGATGATGGCTTTGACTTTGGTGGACGAGCTCATGTAGTTTTTGTATTATGAGAATGTGATACATTGGGTGCTGCACTGGCCTTTTCAGTCTGTCTTATGACACAACTGGATTTTTGATGGCCTGACATGATGATAGAGGGAGGATGGCACTGGTAGACTCAGTTTAGTGACCATGTAGGCTACAACACATGATAAATGCATGTAGTAGGTACTATAACATTGACTCAATATTGGTTCAAACTGGTCTCTACTAGTCTTAGACCAGTTGCAAAATCATACAACTGCAACAGCAACCAGTCTTCACAAGTCCAGTTCAAGGTCCAACTATAATGTCATTTTTTAAGACTGGTTGTGGTCTGGTTGCATCAAAATTACCAAAAAAACCGGACTTAACCGGACTTTAAAACTCTAATTCTGCAATATGTAAAGTGGAGCCAGTGACACTTATGGGGCAGGTACTATCTTGAATATTTCCTTAAGTCTCAAGTATAGATGTACAAAGCATTCAATCAACTCTAAGCCATTATGATACAAGATGTATGGATTGATGTATGGAATTTCTCAGACATTGTACTTCTTTGGTATCACTTTGTCTCTGTGAGAACAGCGAGGGGGATCAGGAGGGGAAGCTTTCACCTTTTTCTTGGATGGTTCCTCCACATCTGCAGGCAGTTGCTTACCCTTCCCTTTGGCATCAGATTTCCTCACCCTCTTGCCTGATTTGCTTGCTTCCTCAGTCAATCTTACCTCTTCTTCCACCCTCTTCTCCTCTTCCACCCTCTTCTCCTCTTCCACCCTCTTCTCCTTCTTACCCCACTCCTCCTCTTCCACTCTCCTCTTCCACTCTCCTCTTCTCCTCAGCCTTCTGCTTCTGCTTCTGCTTCTGCTTCTGCTTCTGCTTCTGCTTCTGCTTCTGCTTCTGCTTCTGCTTCTGCTTCTGCTTCTGCTTCTGCTTCTGCTTCTGCTTCTCCTTCAACATCTTTCTTTCCTCTGTATGCCTCTTCTCAATGTCTCGCCTCACAATAGACAACCCCAGGTTCTCATCTTTCAGTATGGTTTCAACTCCCATCTCTATTTCTGTGATCTTTTCCTCAATCTGGTCACCCACCTGGATCCCCAAGATAAAGTTACCTAAGTAGTCAGGTACACCATCACCAGCTTCATCAGCTTCATGCTCCTGAGCACAACAACACTCATGAAGTAGGAGTCCAAGTCCCAGGATCACAACCATGCCCCATCCATGAGGATTGAACTGGTAGTTATGCAAATCCTCCAGTGCAGCTGAAGCGGTTTCCATATTCACATGGATGTCTTGAGACAGATATGCCTAAAACCATGTCCAAGAAGCCCAGACAGGGAGTTGCTGCTTCCTCGCCTTTGAATCTGTTTTTTGCTTTAAAAAAAGACCAAATTAATGTAAGATCACCAGTTTATTAGATCTAACATACTGGAAGTTTTTCATGTACAGGTGCCGGGTAACATAGCCTGCCAGAGTAACCCGGCACCACGCGTCCAGCTGAGCGGATTGCGTCCTTCTTTTCTTTCTTCCTAGTTCATTTCTCGCACCCACGTCGACTCGTTCAGCATACTAGCTCTCGCATCCTCACTTGTACTTACATTCATTGTTTACTTTCTTTTTATATATATATCGATTACATCTGCCCTCATCCTACTCATTAATTTTCACTTCCAAGCTATGCACCATCATCTTGGTCTTCAACTCGGCGGAGCCCCAAATGCTCCTCCAACTCCACCATCCACCCAAGGAGCCATGGCCTCCGGGTCGAATTCAAACACGCAACCGTCAGCCACAAGGCCACCACCTTCCGACGTCAGAAATCCTTCCGCCCCAATTCCACATCTCCATTCTGGACTGTCTCAGCCTTCAAGTTTACAGACATCCCAATCAACCGCGGCGCAGCCAGCTAATCGTCCTGCAGCACCTATCTCGGTGCCCGTTCCTGATCAACCAGTGCCCCCGCCTGCACCACAGCCACAGGAGCGGAGCATCATTGCAGCAGCTCCTGCTCCGGCAGATGAAATCGCTGCTCTAAGGGCTAGGATTGCTGAGCTCGAGCGTGGGAGCACTCACAGCACCCATATACCGGCCAGAGCCCCCGCTCCTCAACAAGCTCTGATAGCAGACCCTGCAGCTGTTGATCACATTCGAGCGAATTTAGCTAGCTCCAAGGAGGAATCTAAAAAGCTAACTTTACCCGCGCTACAACCGGGCCATAAAGTCAGCGCATTATGCCTGCATAAGTTTTTCACTTCGTGTTTACCGCTCCACTGCCTCCATAGCACTTGCTGCTTGTTCTATTCTCGCCGTCAGTTTTTCCCCTGATGGCTGATCGTCAGCCACCATTATACACCGTACCATTGACCTCACGGGTCCCTTACTGCTGTTCGGCAGCTGTCGTCACGCGCTATTGTCGCATGTTACTGTTACCGCTCCGCACATCAGTTGGCTAATGCACTTCATTGTAGCCATACCTCCCAAGGTGGAGGAAGCTTTCAAGCAGTACTGCTATATTCCCTACATGGCCCTGATGCATGCGGCTCGATCTAAAGCCCATCTCCGCAGAGAGGATTCCGCATTTGTCTTTACACAGGATGGGCTTACAGCGAAAGGCCTTGATCGCTCGAACGAGCTTTTAATCGCAACTGTTGATTGGATTGCCGCAGCAAAGGCTGCAGAGGAAAGAACATTGCACTACTGGGGCGAAGACAGATCCTCGGCCCTAACATCACACCATCTTGTTGTCCTTGATATCGGTCGAACCCATGGTTGGTCAGTAGCAATGCACTACGATGTGCAGCAGAGGGAATTAGCCCATGCGAACCACGAGCATAACTTAGCGGGTCTTGACATAGCAGCTCTGACAATTGCCAATAATAAAATAGCTACACTCGTGCCGCACCCAGCACCTTTCAACCCACCTACTAAGTGATCTGCCCCGAATGACTTTCCATCATCCCCTCACAAGAAATCACAAGTGCACATGTCGAGCCATTGCTTTCGGTGTGGAGCACCAGGTCACTTACCCACTGACTGCTCTGCCGATACCACAGCTGCAGGCAAACCCATCGCAGCCCTCGCTACCAATGCAAGAAGCAGACATGCCCTTGCAACTGCCAGCGGAAAGCATTATTGCTTCAACTGGGCCAATACCTCCAGCTGCTCCTTTGGTACAAATTGCAGGAACGTTCACTCCTGCACCCTCTGCGGAGAGTCGTCTCATGGAGCCAGAAGCTGCAAAGCCCGAGGATGACCCCCGACGGGTGATCACCCCACTTAACCACCTTCAGGTGGAAGAGCTCCTTCGTAAATATGGTATATTCAGTGATTGGTGTCATATATTTGAAGGTATATGCGACGGCTTCGACGTTGGTATCCAGGATCCACCGACTATAACTCATACATTTCGAAAATCATTCTTCGTCCTTACTCAATCCCTCCATAATCGACTCATATATACTATCCGAACAAGCAGCCAGCAGATACTCCATCGGGTTTGCCCCGGCAGACTTAGAGCACTTAATCAGTCCATTTCGCACGTCCCCGCTTGGTTTGGTCCCCAAACCCCATTCAAACAAATTCTGCATAGTTCAAGACCTGTCCTACCCCCGAAACCTCTCAGATATCCAGTCAGTGAATGCCGGAATCAATGCGGACAATTTTCCCACAGTCTGGGGAACCTTCGACGAGACCTCAGCACTCATCCTTACATTACCCCCTGGCTGCATAGCTGCCACCTTCGATGTCTCATCAGCCTACCGTATCATCCCAGTCAAACCGTCACAGCAGAATGCCCTCTGCATTTACTGGAAGGGTATCGTTTACGTGGATCGGGCTCTCATGTTCGGTCTTACCTCCAGTGCTGGCGTGTTTGGCTCTGTTGCCGACATGCTTGTAGCAATTTACGACAAGGCCGGTTTCAGCCTGATTCGAAAATGGGTCGACAACTTCCTAGTCATCAGGCTACCCCACCAATCGTGGACCGAGGAGGATTTCATAGCGCTAACGGCCTACTGCGGCGTCCCATGGAGCCTCGAGAAACTTCAGCTTTTGGCCTCGATCCAGTGATACATAGGTTTTGACTGGGACTTGGACCACAAGATGGTATCCCTCCCAGAGGAGAAACTTCGCAAGGTACAGGAGACATTAGAGTGCTGGTTGCTCAGTGGAGCCTCGTTCACGGCAAAGGAAGCTGCCAGTCTGCACGGAAAGCTGGTGCATGTTGCATGCATCTTTCCCCTAATTCAGCCTTTCCTGCACTCTATCGCAGCCTTTGCCGCCAATTTCCATTCTTCCTGCGCGCACCTTCAGCCATCAGCAGCCGTCCTCGCAGATCTCCCATGGATTCAATCCCTGTTGTCACACCTTCCCAACCAGGTCCCACTCTCCGACCCATCCCCAATGGACATCAGGTGGTGGGGGGATGCAAGTACATCCTTCGGAATTGGCGTCGTCATTCAAAATCGATGGGCCATATGGTGTTGGGCACCTGGCTTCAAAGTCGGGCCCAAGCGAGCATTCGACATAGGCTGGGCAGAAGCTGCAGCAGTGGAGCTTGGGTTTTGAGTAGCCCTCCATCTGGGTACTTATCTATTCCCTCTTTGCTCGTGTTTGCAGACTGTACTAACAGGTGTACACCAAGGTTTCATTTCGCGGGACATGCCGAGAAACATCAACTATCTTGTTCAGTCAGACAACGCAGGTGTAGTGGCAGTAACCAACAAAGGTCGTTCACGCAGCCCAGAAACGAACGCAGTGTTAAAGCACATTTACCGGCTACAGGCAGAGAACTGTGTGTGTTTGCAGGCAGTTTATGTTTTGACTCGCTCCAACATTGCGGACGCGCTTTCGCGTGGCGACGTCGCCGTGTTCAGAGCTGGTTTTCCAGGGGCGACAGATGCAGTTACCATTCCACTACCCCCTCACCTAGTGGGCAAGCTCATCCCATTATTGTGATGTCATTACACCACTTATCCTTGCTGACCAGTCAGTCACCTGCCTCCCCACCCACCTCATGGGTTCCAGGCCCATCCCATCTCCGCCCACAGTGTAAGGCAGGGGAACAAATTTTTCTATGGCGGGGCACAAATTCTCCACCCCCTTCGACTATCGACAATCTGGTCATTCGCCACATAGCCAGTCTAGCGAACCGCGCATCACTTCGGGACACCACCAGCTACGGAGCCGGGCTGCGAAAATTTCACCTTTTTTGTGACATATTCTCGATTCCAGAAGCGGACCGTCTTCCAGCATCATTCAAGCTGCTTCACTCCTTTGCCCTTTGGGCCATCACAGATCCCCAGCCTGGCGATTCAATTTTGTCCATCAGCAGCAGCACACCTTTCGAACCAGTCTCCGTGGGCGTCGTATGAAAATATTTGTCAGCAGTGCGCACCTGGCACATCGCCCAGGGCTGGCCTCCCCCACTCTCTGAATCCCATCACAACCGCATCAATTGGTCCTTGTGCAGCCTGGAAAACATTCAAATTAGCCGTCAAAGGCCCCTCAGGCCACCCGTCACGCTATCAATGCTGGTAGCTCTCAAAGCCACACTCGTTCTGTCAGACCCCTTCGATGCTTGCGTTTGGGCAATAGCGTCATGTGCCTTCTTTGGCATGATGCGGTTCGGTGAAGTTTCCGTCACTTCTCGAGCAGCCTTTACCCCTTCCAAGCACCTCACCCGTGCGCACACATTCTTTGGTGTTGATTTGCTGGGCAGCCCTTACGCCTGTCTCGACCTGCCATCCGCCAAAACTGCACGGGCAGGGGAAATTCAATCAGTCTTTCTCAACGAGCAGGGGGACTTATGCCCCCTAGCAGCCCTGTGCAACCTGGCACAGGTTGTTCCTGCCCTCGCCGACGACCCCCTATTCTCGTGGCGAGACAGTAGAGGCGACATTCACCTGATGGCGAAGATTCGGGCCCTAGAACGCATCAATTCCATCCTGATAGCGTGGGGATGGGGCACATCCTTCGGGCACTCCTTCCGTATAGGTGGCGCATCCTTTTACCTAGCTAAGAAGATTGACCCAGAGATAGTGCGAATTGCGGGGCATTGGAAGTCGCTGGCTTACGAGACCTACATTCGCGTGTTTGAGCAGATCTCTTCACGGCACCTCGCTAACGCAGCAGCACGGTAACGTCGGATCTCACCTCCATGTCTGGTCGGGCTGAGCAGCTGAAGCTGCGGGTTGTTTCAGCTTGACGGGCGAGCGGCTCCACCTGCCTGCGTCCCACCCCGAGCTATCGCTCGGTCCAGCCCAACGCACGAGATCGTGTCACCAATTCCTACTAAGCTAGACGAAGCTGGAAACTGCAGCAAGAAGGTATTGATATAAAGGGACAGTAGAGAGAGACTTGAGATAAGCAACCATGTCCCTAGCAACATGGTATTTGGGGCTGGAATCAGCCATGGACAGAGTCTCCACCTCCACTCCATTTTCATCTGAAGAGCTTTTACCATCATCAACCTTCTTCAGGTGCTCTTCCTCATCTGAAGGGAGTGCAGATAATAAAATCAGCTTGCCTATACCCAACAAAATGTACGATCAGTGTGTTATGACTAATGTGATCTATCCAGTGGGAGTAAAGCATAGTGATTGTGTCCTTTTGCAGGTGGGAAGGGTCCTTGATGATGACATTCTCAGAGATGCATTCCAAATCAAGATAGTGATTGGGATTGTCAGTCACCTCACCCCAGGGCACTGGAGCCCAAGAATTGCTTGTGATAACAGCTAGTGAAAGTGAGTAAATGATAACATCACATAAGGCAATCAACTCACCATAGGCCTTTTGAAAGACAGAGCGAACAACCTTTTGCCTATGCTTGAGCTTAAGAGATCTAAAGCCTGTCAGTAGGCAAGGATAACCATCATCATCAACCTCAACAGTCAGATCTGGGAGATTATCTTCATTGTCATCCTCTCCATCACTATCCTCTCCATCAGCTGTTATAATTTTAGCTACAATATTAGATTTAAAAATTAAAAGCAACATTACCATATTCTCCTTCAAGGAGCCAGTTAGCAAGACAGTCTTGAGCATGTCCAACCCATTTCTTATTGTCTTTGGATGCCTGCATAAAAGGTTTTTTCACCTTTTGAGGTGTGGTCTCCCAGCTTTAGGAAAAAGTTCATTATTATGAATGAAATGAAGTATAAATTTTTTTACATAGTAGTTACTGGAGCCTTTCCCTCACCTCAATCATGGGCTGTAAGGATGACAACATGCAACCCCATAGTTCTCCAAACCATGTCCATAAAGTCTTCCATCACTTTTTTCTGGTCACAAGTATGGTATCTGTTGATATATCATTGAGTTTTGTAACATGTGAGTCAATAGAATGTTAGGAAAAAAATACCTATCCTTGGTATCTGCAGGAGGTCCTTCTTGGTTCCATTTTTCAGTAACTTGCTGAAGCTCCTGTTTCACCTCTGGGGACATAGCCTAGTGCCATTCCCAGGCCAATTTTGTCCTCTGACCCATAGACTTGAGGTTGGAGGTATCATGGTGCTGCTTGTCATATTCTTCAAATTTGTCCTTAAATAATTTTTGGATGACATCAAAAGCAGAGAATTCTGTCTTGTACTTCCCAGCTTCCTCAGGCTTATCATTTTCCTGCTCTCTCACCATCTCTACAGTCACAGCATCTGGAGCAGATCTATCTTTATGCCCTCCCTCAATAATTTCTTCCTCTGCCTTGCAATCCTCGTCATCCTCCAGGAAGTCCAAATAATACATACAGACAGCCTGTATTAATTAGATTAACATAGAATACAATTCTGAAAGCTCACCTTCCAAAGATTTTTCTTGGGAAGCATAACACAAGGGTCTTTGGCTGCTTTGCTACTGCCTATCACATCTTTGATCATCTTGAGGATGCAAGCCCTAATGAAAGAATTTCCTTTAGCTGCAATGAAGGAATCCTTGTGTTCATTCAACACATTGCTAAAAACAAGAGTCCAGCTGGCCATTATATCACAAAATGACAAGGATGCAGGCCAATACAAGTTTGCAGAATGTACAGCAGGCAAGAGTTGATTGCGTTTGAAAACTCAACATCAGATTATGTGACAAACATGGTCATGTGATACATGTGTTTACAAGTTGCGCTATATATGCTGAAATTCACCAAAATTCACCAAGTCCATCTAACAAAGTGTCATTAACAGAGACATGTATGAAATGACAAAGTTTGAGTAGCAAAGTAAGAAATGCACATGATCAAGTCAATAATGGTTTCAAAGGTATGTCCATCCATACACACCCCAGCTTCCTACCTCTTGACAACATGATGGTGTCTTTAGGCTGACTGAAGCTGAAACTCTGGTGGCAGGTGGGATTCTTGTACTCAAAGATGTACATCTTGTCCTCACTGCCCTTGACATAGGCTGAATGCCAAGAATTAGTCCACCCACAGTTCAGGCATTGGATTGGCAGGAAGCTGCCCCAAGGCCAGATCTCTGCATCACCCCATGTGAACTTGAAGATCTGGAGGCTATGTCATATCCTGTACCTCTGGATCTGGAATTCCGGATCTACTCCATTAAAGTCCAGTCCTCCATCTTACTATTCCGCCCGGCGCTCCGCCTTCATCTCCGCACTCACCCCTAACTTCTTTTAGATTAGCTATTGCTCCGGTTACCGGTTATGTCCTATTCCACTATGCTTACTGATCTGTCCATTCTTACTTCATTTCCGACTTCACTGCTTTGATCCGTTATACTTAGTAATAGACTTTCCACATGCTTCGTACATAGCCCTCACCTTTGCTGACTGATTTACCTACATGATACCTACAGTATATAAACCCCTGTAATACTCCGGAACTCCTCAGTTCGAATATCATCTTAGTTCTGCTCATTCCTGCAATCTCCGGACTTGAGTCTCATCTCTTGTCCACCTCCAAGTCTTAGGGGTTAAACCTTAGGACTACTTCTCCGGCTCTACCTTAGGGTAGTCTAACCTCTGTTCTGTTTCTACTCCGGACTTCCATAGTAGCCTTACTCCATCCCTGCATAAACCTTCTGGAGTTCTGCCAAACTCCACCGACCCTAAGTCCTCTGGAACTCCCCGGACTTCTGTCGGACTTCCCCTCTGTCCCCCGGAAATTAAAGGGCACGTACTCGGGTAAGGGGCGCAGTGCATGAGCTGAAGCCGAAGCCCTTTGAGCAACCTCTCCCTTGAGCACGACCTTAACAGGCTAGCCTCAAGTGGTATCAGTAACAGAACATCAGTGTGACAACTAAAGACGGAGCTAAGATTAACCAGTGGCAGGCCTCTTCCCCTTCCCTTTGGCAGACATTATTGATCTAATCTCTGTCTTTGTGGCTTGTCTTTGCTACCACTGAGAACCCTAGCAAAGACAGGCAAAAAAGACAGAGCTGAGATTAACCAGTGACAGGACAGTATTTTGGATCTGGAGGGTGAGGCTGACTTACCTGCAGAAGTTGCTGAAGTTTGGATGCCATCATGGGCAGCATCTGATACCATCATGGATGATATTATCATGGCATTACGTCAAGAAGAACTCAAGCTTTGAAAGGGTCAAGCAAATGACTGTCTGGAAAAGCTTCGTCAAGCCTTGGGTGACAGATCAGTGGTGTTTCGAGAGAAAATACACTTTAACAAATCAATTCATCATCAGGGCACTAGATCCAACAAGGAACTTCTAAAAATAACTCTGTCCATCAACAAACAGTCCCGAGGATACCATCGGTTAAGGGCAGCAATGCAACAATTGGGGGCTGACTCTGATACACTAACTTTGTATCAACCCCTATAAAGGCTCAGGACCTTGTAGTGAGCAAAGAAGTCACAGAGGAAAATAGGCATGGTCAGGGTTCTGATAGACTAGCTTGGCTTTGGAGGATCAACAATGTAGAGGACAGTCAAAAGAACAAGTGGATGAATAAGTGTGAGTTTTCATGTCATCTGATTTTTGTCAAGCTCATGAGCTTATTTTCCCCATTTGAAGTTTATTGTGTGAATTGGTTGAAAGCCAAAGCAAGATATGACCATTGGAGTGAAGAATTGAAATTGGTATAACATGAAATGTTTTGGACAGTATCCTGGTTTCAGACACAGGAGGCCAGGTAGAGAGCAAGGGCAGATGAAAGCATCAAGGATAGGCATAAGGCATATGCTGAGAAGCAGGCTTCAATGTGGGCTGAGTTTTCAGCTGAGGGTCTAAAGAATTTTCAAGGAAAATTCATTGTAATGAGTTGATCTTGGAGATGTCCTAATGTAATTACCTTACTTCTAATCTACCCAAACCCCATGTACTATAAATACAGATTGGCCAAAAGTAGTACAGGTCACAACCTGTGCAGCCAGCCCACTCCCACAGGCTGTAACAGCAGGCTGGCCTGTAGTGGTATAGGTCACCACAGGTGTGGCTGGCACACTCCCACAGGTTACAACAGTAGACTGACCTGTAGTGGTATGGGTCACCATAGATTTGTCTGTCCCCCCTATACTGCAGAGGTATGGCCAACATGACTCAAATAAGGTCTATAGGTAGGCCTGGTATGCTTTTCATATGTGGGACATGTATGGCCAGGTGCTCACTTCACACCAGAACTAGGGCAGCCTGCCATGCCACTGGCTTGTAGGTTTAGGGTAGTCAAGTGTTTGCTCCACCTATACACTATATTAATGGGAAGGTTATAGTATAAATAGCTGGTGTATCCTAAAAAGCTCCCCAAAACTATTCATTATGCAGACCCTTTGAACCAGTATTGTAGCTTTGACTTCTTTGCCTTGGATGATGAGAAGATCAGTGATTATGGGCCCATTGGCACATTGAACCACAAACCTAAAGTATGCATGGATCAATGTATCAAGACCCTATCTTTTTCAAGGAATACCTAGTGAATCTCAGATGGTTTCAAATTCACTGTACACTAGTATGGGTTACCATGGGGGTGGGCATCCACCCTCTACATACTGCAGAGGCAGTCTGACCAAAAGGAGTACAGGTTACAAACCATGTAGCTGACCCCTCTCTCACATGCTGCAACAGCAGGCTGGCCCATGGTGGTATGGGTCAACATGGGTGTGGCTGTCATATACCAGATCCGAGTACCCCCAGTACCACCTATAAACATCCCTACTGCTGGTCCGACCCCCTGTTTCCCCATCTGCTCCATTCCTCCTTCTCTGACAATGCACAAAGTGCATCTCAGCAGGATTAGCCCTGCTACCTCTGCCCAACCCTGTTCCACTCTTCCGACACTACCCCTATGTCCTCCAACACCATACCCCTTCCATCCGACCCTATCTGGGGTTCTGCTCCTCCGCCCTATCAGTCTGCCCGATCCTACTCCTACTCCCTCCGCTTTTCTGACCCCCCGTTCCCCCATTCCTCTGTTCCTCCGCTTGTCCGACTTCCTGTGCATTGGAACTAAACCCCGCACTCTTGCATCTGCCCCCTCCATTCCGCTCTGCTTCGGACTTCATCCAAGCATTCCCTTCCACTCCACTTCTACTGTTGGTTCCGACCACAGTAGTCTCCTGCCTCCCTCCTGTCAGGTGGAACAACCCCCGCCCGACTTTCCCGTGCTCACCTAGTAGTCTGTCGGTCCTCCTTCAGAGGACCCCCATTCCGACGTCCTGTCGGAACTCATAGAACTCATGTTGGACTACATTCTGAAATTAGGGGCATGTACTCGGGTAAGGGGTGCAGCGCATGAGCTGAAGCCAAGCCCCTCAGACTCCGCTTTACCCCTGAGCATGGTCTTAACAGTGGCTGTCCCCCTTCTACACACTGTGGAGGCAGCCTGGCCACATATAGTATAAGTCACAACCTGTGTGGCCAACTCACTCCCACATGCTGCAACAGCAGGCTGGCCCATAGTGGTATGGGTCAACATAGGTATGACAGGCCCCCTCTACATACTGCAGGGGCAGACTGGCTAACAGGAGTATGGGTCACAATCTGGCCGGCCAGCCCTCTCCCACACTTTGCAACAGCAGGCTAGCCTGTAGTGGTATAGGCCACCATGAGTACAACTGTCTACCATACTGGCCAACAATAGCAGGTTCCACACTGGCTGTCAAGGGTTCTACATTGCCGGCCCCTCTGTTAAGACTGTGCTCGGTGGTAAAGTGGAGTCTGAGGGGCTTGGCTTCAACTTGTATGCTGCGCCCCTTACCTGAGTACGTGCCCCTAATTTCGGAATGTAGTCCGACACGAGTTCTATGAGTTCTGACAGGACGTCGGAATGGGGGTCCTCTGAAGGAGGACCGACAGACTACTAGGTGAGCACGGGAAAGTCGGGCAGGGGTTGTTCCACCCGACAGGAGGGAGGCAGGAGACTACTGTGGTCGGAACCAACAGTAGAAGCGGAGTGGAAGGGAGTGCTTGGATGAAGTCCGAAGCAGAGCGGAATGGAGGGGGTGGATGCGAGAGTATGGGGTTTAGTTCCAACACATGGGAAGTCGGACGAGCGGAGGAACAGAGGGGTGGAGGAGCGGAGGATCAGAGGATCAGAGGGTGGCCGACCTAGGGAGTCAATCCCCTAGGCCGGCTAACAGGAGTTGACTAGGATCAGGCCCAAGTCAAAGAACAGAAGAGCAGGGCTTAGAAAAGGTAATATTCAGACTGAGTATCTACAGACAAATGTACATATGTTTATATACTCTAAGTGATGAGCATAGCATAGCAGAAGGCTATGTGCTGAGTGTACAGGATTACAATAGGATGACTGAGACATACGAGAATAAGGCTCAGGGAACAGTATGTACGTGACAGATCAGAATCGCTAGGGTATAGGGATTACCGGTGATCCAAAAAGTGGAACTATGATACTAAATGGGGATAGGACCAGTTGAGTGGTTCCTAGTCTAGGAGTGGACCAGTGAGGCGGTCGGACGGACTAATAGTTGGGTGGGACAAGATGAGCGGAACTGAGCGGGTCAGAAAAGCGGAGGGAGTAGGAGTAGGATCAGGCAGACTGATAGGGCGGAGGAGCAGAACCCCAGATAGGGTCGGATGGAAGGGGTATGGTGTCGGAGGACATAGGGGTAGTGTCGGAAGAGTGGAACGGGGTTGGGCAGAGGTAGCAGGGCTAATCCTGCTGAGATGCACTTTGTGCATTGTCAGAGAAGGAGGAATGGAGCAGATGGGGAAACAGGGGGTCGGACCAGCAGTAGGGATGTTTATAGGTGGTACTGGGGGTACTCAGATCCAGTATATGACACCCTCCTGTATTTATATGGGCTGGCCAAGCCAGGTGTATGACTATAAATAAGCTTATAGATATATCATATATATAAGAGTCACTGGCTTGCACATGGTTGCATACTGGCCTCATACCAGCCTATCCAGGTACTGCAGATATGTCATTTATACAAGAGTCACTGGCCTGCACATGTCTCACATAGTCAGCCAGTCCTGGGTACACATGGGCCAGCCGCTGTCCTGTAGACCTGGTTTTGCAGGCCAATGTACATGTCCTATGACAGGGTTCTACAGTATAAATGACTGAAGGGTCTGCAGTAAAGAAGTTTGCATTTAGAAGCAATCAGCAGCTCACATCTTTGCCTTGATGACCTTTCATTTGCCAAGAATGGACAAGATGAGAGACACCAGTTGGCTCAGAGATGTGATTTTCATCAGCATACTGATATTCCAAGCTCCTGTGCATGAACTGTAAGTGAGGACCTTCATAGGACCTCAAAGCTTCAGTCTCCAATGTCCCATTGTGAGGGTACCATATGAGACAATCATCCCAGTTATGCCTACCATCGGAGTTGCTTTGGTGGGGCTTGAGAAAATGATGCAGAACTTGAGTAGCCCAAAGGGCATTGTCAATGACCTCCTTCTGCTGAGCCCATTACTAGTTGAGCACCCAGTTGCTGCTTGAAGGCTTAGGAGCTCACCTGAAGTCCATCAAAAACCACTGTCACACCTTCGTGCTGAATTTTCTCCAGATCAGCTACAGAGCGACCGAGAATGGATGGGGTCTTCAAACCACCCACATATTTGGGGGCATGCTGCTTATGTATTGGCACTGAGTGTTAATGTTGAGTAAAGGCCCTTGCAAAAGCTCACCTTGCATGCGCTCTCAGCCAACTTAGGGGAAAGAGGCACATCGCAAGTAACCATTCAATTTGAAAAGTAAGCCGCCATTAATGTCCCATCAGTATTGCAAAACTTTGCAGAGAAAGCATCAGCTTCCCAATCAGCCATATTATGCATTGCATCCATAGCATGAGCTTTATCAGCCTTGCAGGGCCTTTTCCACACAGCAAGTTGAGGTAGTTGAATGCCCAGATGTCACGAATTCCTAATACAAACCATTTTTCATTTCTCGGTTTTCCTTCGGCTACTTCCAGTACCTGAACCGGTCACGTGACTCCTCACCCTGTCACACCTTCACCTCTTCACATATCACCCGTGGTTTCTCCGATTGGCTCCCCTACTCCACAGGCTAGAACAATCTCGCTTCCCAAAGAAGAACTGGTCGGAACTTGGGTTTCTGTTTAGTTGCCGTCTTACTCATTTGCTTATATATCATGATGTCATACTTAGTCATCCGCAGTATCGTACGACTCTTTTCTCATTGGCTGATTTCTTTCAGACTCCTATTCAATGTTATGTATATAAGTAGGTTAGTTAGTGAAAGTACTCCTTAGACTTAACCTCTTCGTTTCCTACGCTTGTAGTGACGTAGACGTTCACGCTCAATACCATCTTGTTCACTATCCTCTTGACTGAGTCCTAGTGGTTGTGTGCTCACCTTCATCATTATTGGTGAACATTGGTCATAACACCGGAACACAGAATGTTGGCACAAAGCAAGACCAGAATTGTGCAGCGCCTCAGGCATTCCACCTAAAACCTTTCTCCTCTTGTTGGATTGTCAATGAGGTTTGATGAGGGTGGGGCCTGCGGAGGTCAGGGAGTGGAATGCATGTTGCACCAAGAATTGTGGTCTTGTCATTGTGAGTCAGGTGCACAGCAGCCATTGCAACTAGTTTTGCATCAGTTATAACATTTCCTTTCACTCTCTGCAAAGAATCAGAGCACACAATAATGTGTA